GTTGTGAAAGCATCACCTGATTATTAAATATGAGTTAGGACTTGCCACACAAGGAAACTTATTGATATAATTGCACTGGTGTAATTATGCTCAGACGATTTCCTGTGTCGACAAGCCCTTCGATGCAACTGCTTTGGCCCCTTCTTATTCAGTAACTCATTAGGCCTCTGACTGCACATTAAAATTGCATAATTCTCAGCTAAAAAATCTTCAACCTGAATGTTTAACGCACTGGCAGCGCTTCCAGCGTGCTGGGCAGACCAGCAGTTGAGCTTTAAAAAATGATGAAGAATGAAGGACAAAAGAAATGAACTCTCCCAGTCTGGGGAATGGTTGTGGAGCAAACGGTCCTGAAAAATATCATTACATAATTGTGTGGATTTTGGAGTAGACACGGCTCATCCAAGTGTGTGGCTCATTCACACCTTTTATAGACTTGGAGTGTCTTGGCCTGTCTGCTCCTTGAGTCACCCTTATCTCTGATTTTGATCCCCAGCAATGGCTGGAGTAGGAGCACACACACAGTCAGCTTTGGGTTTGCAATTGCTTCCAATTAGCAATTTTTTTTTTTTTTACTAAAACCACATTTCTGTGATTGCTCAGTGTTCTTCTACAGCTGCCTTTCCCCCACCACTCTCTTTTGACAGAAGAATTTTGTTGGATTATTATTTTTATTTGATAAAATTGCCACAAGACTGTTACTTTTCTAGTATCTGTCTTTGCTAGGTTTTCTTTCTCTTTTTTTTTTTTTTGGTAGAAATTACTGTTTTTAAGATTGATAACTATGAACATTTAGTTTATGGAAATAGGATGAATTCTAATGGGAAGTCTGTGTTTTTTCCTGATAAAAATAAGCCTAAAGGCAGGATACTGTCACCTCATTATTCCATACCCAGCTTACCTTAATTCACACTTGAAAATGGGGCTCTTGATGGTCTCAATCATCATATCAAGGCTAAAATGTTCTCATTATTCATTGTATGGTCTAACAAATGAATGAGGAGCTTCCAATACTTTATCACATGGATGCTCCAGTTTATTAGTCTTTCATCTTTTTTTCTAGTTCCCTCTTCCCTTGACAGCACTTTAAAAGTAGAATCCAGGAATGCATGTGGATTTTCCAGCACTTTGGGATACTGTCTCTCCCAAAGCATCATCTGTGTTCATGATGGTGTCTCCACGTGCATTAGGATGTGAATTTTGGCAGGTTTCCTGGAGCAGGGCATCAATTCGAGCTCTGATGTCCAGTGGCATCCTCTGTAACACACCTCACCATGCTGCAAAAGCTTCCCAGTAGGAACCTTTGCACTAAGGAAAGCGTTCCTGTGTCCATACAGCTTCTGTCACATTGAAAAGTGAGTGATGGGAATTCTGCAGGAGTGCTTGGACAGGGAGTTGGGGCAGCTGAATCACTTTGAACGTTGCAGTTGCATCTCATGATCAAGGCTCAAGGCTTCTATCATGTTTTGATACAAGGTGGAGCCTTATCCCTCTGTTCTGTCAGCACCAAATTCATTCTGTAATGCTACACTTCACAGCTGGTTGCTGTAGTAAGTTTAACACAAGATAGTTTGGGTTTGCATTCTTAATTTGAGGCAGTAGTCCAAAAAGTGAATTCAGATCAATGGCTGTATTATTTAGCTTTTTTCCCCTGGAGTTCAATTCCCACCCCTCAGCTCTGTAGTTAACACACGTCTCTGTTTGAGGCGGCAGAAATGTAGGCTGAGTGCTTATCGGGTCAGTGCTGCTGTTTAATAAACAGTACTTATCTCCTTGAAGCAACACCCTGCCCTAAATAAGTTTGCCTTGGGAGTTGAGCCAGAAATAGCTTCCTTTTTTTTTAAATTTTTTTCTTTAATTGGATCGTAAAAAACAAATCATTGAAAAACTGTTTCAAACGAAAATGCAGGTGGCAGTGGTGCTGCTTTCTGAACAGCTTGGTGCTTTTTTTTCCCCCCTCCATGAGTCATGCAGGTTGTAAAACTGTGTTCACATCTTTCCCCAGGAGTTGTGCCTCTCTCAGCATTTCATCTTATTCTCAAAACTGAGTCTGTGCCCTCACTTTTATTCACTGAAATGCCGGTGGAGGGATGTGGTGATGTTGTTTGGTGATGACCAACATGTCTTTGTGTTGGTCCCTGAACAATTACAGATATGGCTCCACTGTGCCCCTGTGAAGCAAAACCCAATCCCATTTTAATATAGAGGGAGGAGGGTCTATTGCTTAATTACAAAATTACTTTAATTGGCAGCATAAATAGCTTGTTGGGGGTGTATGTCCCCTTCCATGATGCTTGTCTTTGTACTTCCAATTCCTAAGTTTAATTTTTTTTTTATTTCTGAAATCTAGTCATGATGTAGCACAAAAAAGGGAAGGGCAGCGAAATTAGGATGTGGAACTAGATACAGAAATGTTAGAAGGCCTAAAAATAAACAGGAAAGAGAAGGGAATTGCTCAATATTGATAGCAGTTGGCCAGGTAATAGTGGTAAGGACATGCCTGGAATGCAGAGTGTGGGTAACAAGCATTGGAAATGTTAAAATACATAATCCAGGAGCCTGAGTGGAAAATTAAAATATTTTTGAATGGATGGTGTTATGGGGATCATGGAAATACACCAAAAAATCACAAAATAACGTTAATGATTAGGACATGATTTTCAAATGGGGACGTTCCGTTAGGGGAAGATGAAAATAAAAATATGTGCAGTGATGAGCTGTAAAGAATTCAGCAACAGAATGGCTGGAATCATATGTGGGAGACAGATTTCTTTGGGAAAAAGATGGTGAATGAGATTCTGGAGGCGTAGAGGCAGGTGCTTGGTGCACATCCTCCTGATCGGATTTGGGGGTGGATCATGGAAACCTTTGGCATATTGCAAGTGTAAATATTTGTGGGAGTATTTTTTCTGTTATTTCCAGCTGTAGTGATAATGCTATAAATAACTTAGTTAGGTGTCTTACCCACAGCAGAGGATACTTTTCCACCTAATGACACAGGAACTGTGAATTTGCCCCACCAAACAAGGGGATGTGGTGACCGCGGGGCCACCTGAGTGAGCTGATCACCTTCAGAAAAATATGAAGGAAGGAGAGGGCCTGTAAGTGGTGGTAAAAAGTGAAAAGTCATTTCTGAGAAGTCAAGATGTGCGGGAATTAAGAAAAAAAGTTGCCAAAGGTTGAGCAGAACTAGTGAGCTGAGTATTTTGTCTTTCCTTCAGGGTTGGAAGTGGCCAAGGTCAGATGCAGAGGCAGATGTGCTGCTCCTGGCAGGACTGGGTCACAGATAACAGTTGAGCTGAGGTGACACTTTGCTCCATTTCTCAGGGCAGGTGTTGGCACTGCAAAGGCAACTTGGATGGTTAATGTTAAAGTGAGAATTGCTGTATTGCTATTGAAGGCAAAACTGAAGTTTTAAGTCATGGAAATGCAGATCTTCAGCAACAAGTGTCTTTAATGTTTTGATGGAGTTAGTGTTGGAGAATCACAGGCTTTAATGGCAATGTTTATAAAAGAGAGGGGAAAAAGCAAATGGAATTTTGGTGGCACGACATTAAAAGGGTGGATGCCTCAGAATATGTTTGGGAGACAAAATCTGAAACAGGATTTAAAAAAAAATAATAATTTAACAAATCTGCCTAGCATGTTCCCAATATCAAACCAAGTTATCTGGATTCTGATGAAATATTTAGTATGTGGGGAAATTGGTGCTGAAAGTCAAGTTAGTAGGACGGTAAAAATAAGGAGATATTGATGAGTGGGGAAACTGGCCATGGGGAGTCTTGAAGGGTAAAGTGGGGAAATGATGCTACTAATGATGGTAATGGTCTTATTATTTCATTAACAAGCTTTGCATAAATGTTAGGAATAAGTACGTGAAACTTCACCGTGGAGTATAGGAGGCATTGTCAGATTTATGAGAAGAGACTAACAGAAGTAGTTTAGAATTAAGTATTAAATGAGAATTTGGTTTAAATCTAAAAATGCAGTCAGGAGTGCTCAATCTGAAGAAACACAGAGTATAACCTGCCAATGAATAAATAAAAATAGAAGGATGTTTCTGAGCGTTGAAGCATCACAGTTCTGGAACAGCTTTCCAGTAGGGAAAGCAAGGGTGGAAAAGTGGTGAGTGATCTGTTAATGAAGGGATGTGTGTTGTTTCTGGTGCTAGCAGAGAACTGAGTTTGATAATCCCAGGAAACCACACCTGGCTTCTTACATAAGTAATGAGAAGCCTCCTGGGTTACTTCACATGCGAAGGTTTTGCTGCAAGTTGTTATTGCTCCAGACCACAGAACACCTGAGTACTGAGGCTGAAGTTTTCAGTACCTGAGTTGGTACCTCACACACTTCTCTGTGGATTTTAATGGAATTTCCTAGATTGAAACAATGACAAGCAGCTATTGTGCTTCTGCTTCACGTTGTCTGATCTATGTCTGATGTTTGAGCTCAAGAATTCAGTACAGCAGCAATAGAGTATTTGCTCTGATGGCTTTCTGTGTAAAGGAAGCAGTAGGATATAGTTAATTCTAATACATAGTGTTTTCCAGAGAGCTGCAGCGTGGAGGAAAGTGGTGGAAACTCCATTTTATAGGTGTTTGCTTAAATAAAGATGTTTAAGTGATTTGTTTTGAAACCAAGGTTCTTCCCTATAAGGAAGATCTTGGTTATCACTTTCTCAGCAGTGCCCACTTGGACTATGACATTCCCACCTACCTGACTTGTAGTATAGGAAAAATGCAACTGATTTTAAGATTCTGTTCAGTAATCAGGGCTAGGAAATACAGCAAATGGTGAACAAGCATGGGAAGAAGATAGAATTCATGGACTCCTGATAGCAGGGTTTTTTGATTATTTGTATTTTTTTATGCTTTTGATTGTTTAAAAAAAGCTACCAGTTGAAATGTGCTGTGATTCATTGTCAGATAGCCATTGGTAAATTTGTTGAGCTGTCAGTTTGATAGAGCTGATGGCTAAACTGTGCTTTCTCTCTCTTTCAGTGCTCACACCTCCTCCACCGTTGCCACCACCAATACAGGGATATGCCTTTAAACCACCTCCTCGACCAGATTTTGGCACTTCCGGGAGAACAATCAAACTGCAGGCCAACTTCTTTGAAATGGACATTCCTAAAATAGATATCTACCATTATGAATTGGATATAAAGCCAGAAAAATGCCCTAGAAGAGTTAACAGGTAATACTGTGCTTTGCTTTTCCTCAGTTTATTTACAGTCTTGTTTTCCTTTGAAAATGCTGGACCCATGTGCTTTCCCCGATGGCTGAGAGGATGTGTCTGGCTTCAGCCACTGGTTGTATTGATCACTTCCAACTTTGGGGATGCATATCCATCCGTGGGCTCTTTTTTTCCCTCCAAGTCTTTATTTGGATTGAATTCATCAGCATCTTAAGATGCTGCTGATCAAAGCCACTGGTGACAGATGGATAAACTGTACTAGCTCTAGTGGAACTGGGTCAGTGTGAGCCAACTTTTTAAATATGATTTAGTATTGCTTGTTTAAATATTGAAGTGCAATTGATGAGTCCTTCAGCAGGGAGTTGGTGTAACCAGCTTGTTTTCCCACCTTTCCCTACTCCCAAAGGAAGGAAAAACCAATTTGTTTGTGCTGCTGTGAGAGGATCGTAGAGGTACTAAATTAGGTAAGAAATTATCCTCCATCGGTAGATTCTATATAAGGGAAAACTGTGCTCCTGAAACAGATAGCAAGGTGGCCCAGGAAACAAGCAGGCAGGTCTTGCACTTGGCATGTGTGCCTTGTTAGTCAGAGTGTGCAGCTTCATTGACTTGAAAAAGAGCAGCGTTGCCAGAAGTGAAACTTGAGAACGAGACTTGGCACTGACTGGAAAACCACAAGTGTCATCATCATAACTACCTACATGTCAGCTGTAGAGGATCAGAATGGCTTGTTTATATATTCAAGAGCAAAACCTTTCCTTGTTAAAAAAGGTCACATGGGTGGAATATGAAATCATGAAAATGAACGAAGTGTGGAGTCAAAAAAGCCACCTGAAAGCCACGGTTTTCTTAACGTGATTTAATAAACCTGAGGGCATTCTCTGTTGTTATTCTGAGGAGTTGGTGATGATAGTGTTTTTATAAAGCAGCATCACTCTGCTTTGCTGTCCTTTTTTTTTTTCCTGTGGTGATCTGTTATAAATTTAATTTTTCAAGTAGTCGAGAACTGAGTTCAGTTTTAAAAACAAAGACTGTTGTTAAATGTATTAAGCTGAACTCTCTTCTTGCCCAAGGGCAAATGCTGATTTCACCCACGTGCTGCTCCTACTGCACTGGACCACTGAAAAACACTTTGAGCAGTCACTTTTTTCACAGTGGGAGCCATGAGGGCTTTGCTTTCATTAACTGATATTCCTGCCACTGCTCCAGCCCTCAGAACTGCTGCTGGCTGATCCACAGTGATCCACATTGCCTCTGTAGCTCCTCTGGGAGCTGAGTGCTGCACGGCTTGTGTGTGTTGTAGTTCTGTGTGATCACTGTTATGGTCCTGCACGTGGGTGCTTGCCAGTGGCAGAGAGCATACTTATTAAAGCAGTTTTTCCTCACTGAAAAGGCAGATTATGTTCAGCAGCAAGTTTTCTCCACTGCCAGCTCTTGTCCCGCTCTGCTTTGTCAGGTTGGTCACTCCTCTGTTGTAACAGGAGTGGGGACAGATCTGCACAGATTAAATGCCCTTTGCAGTAAGCAGAGATGTCATAAATGCATTCAGCAGTGGTGTGGTGCACGTTTCTCAGTGCAGTATGGTAAGAATACAGATTGGATTCACTTACTGAACTGTATGTTTTATTTCTTCTGAGTTCTTACTGCTGTGTGTATTACCCTGTAATGTACCTGCACTCACCTGCCCCTACCTGGGTTGTTGTGAGCTGTGACCTTTCAGTCCTATGTGTGTACTGGGATACATGGGATATGGGATATCTGTATATGGGATTATGCAGGATGCACGTGTAATCCAATTCTAGATGATGCTTTTTTCCAGCTGGCTTACATGTTTCTAGTATTTTGGTTATGTAATTCAGATGTATATTTTCAGTAAGTAGTTTTTATGATTACTTTACATGTTGTCACCTCTAAAAAGGATAGAGGAAGATTTTTTTTTTTACTCTACTCCCTCATCTGTCCCAGCTTCATTCTTCAGTTTTACTCTAGGACTTACTCCAGCTCATGCTGTGGTCCTGCAGGTCCCTGCAGGATGTGTAGTGTACGTGCAAGTTCCACACTGAGACATGAGCTGGAGCAGGACTGGGAAACACACAGCTGAGACAACGTGCTGCTGTGCCAAATTAATACAGTCTGGCTGCAATTCTTCATGTGTGGCAGAAAGGCCAGGTCTATTTGGGGAGTTGGACAGGCTGAGTGAGCAGTGTGAGTTTGGTTATACACTTTAATTCACGAGGACTTGTTCAGCGTGGAGGATGAACTGTGGGTCCAGTTGCTGGCCCAGAGTTCTTGGTGTGCTTACAGGAGCTCAATAGAACAGTAGTCCCAAAGGGCTGAAGTTGGTGAATTTGTAAATAACTCTTCTTTTAACTTCACATGGAGAAAATAACATAGTTTTCATTGATATCTCCACCCACGGCTGAGAAGCTCTGTTGCTAAATGTGGATGTGGTTTGAAGCTTGAAAACATTAAGTGGAAGTGTTCATTTTTTTTTTATATAAAGCAGTTCACAGTCAGAAGAACTTGCTCAGAAAGAGAGTGGAGTTTCCCTAGCTCAATCTTTAACTCAAGGTTGAAAAACACCTCCTTCCTCCCACCCTTCAAATTATCTACTTGTTCAGTCAGACACTGCAGACCTGAGGCAGATATTACTGGGTCAGGTTTGATTCATACTGCACAGGAAGTCATAAGAATTTCTTTCAGTGGTCACATCTTATTTTAAGATAAGTCTTGGGACACAGCAAAGAAATTGCCAGTTAAAACAGTCTTAATTCTTTTCTTGAATGAGCTCAGAGTTTCATCTCAGGTTTTGCAGCACTCTCATACTTGACTGTGTGCTGGGTTAATTCTCTTGCCAAGTGGAGGTGTATGAAGCACTCACCTGCAGCATCTCTGAGCTGGTAGTTGTCAGCAGTGCTGAAGGAACAGTGGTTTCCTTTCTCTGTTGTTTTAAGTTCTTAATGCCCTTTTGCCCCAGGCTGTGTGTTCAGATTGCAGATTGCTGATGGATTTTGAATATCACACATGGCCTCAAGGATGTCTCTCTGGGACACTGGGACCAAAGACCTTTGGCATCAAAGGGTGTTATTACTCCAGCTGACCTCCCATGGCTGCTGAACTGCTTTGCATGACCAGTGTGTAAACACTGTGGTTTGACAAGAACTGTGTGAGTGGTTTCCCCATTCATACAGACATGCAGCCTAATTCCAGCCATGCTTAAATGAATATTTTTAATATGCACAGGTCCCGGTGAAAGGGCATATCCAGCTCTGTTGGATGGATCCCAGTTTTTCTGGGGACATGAAAAAATTGAATTTAAAAGTTATCCTGGTGCAATGCAAAAAGTTTGCATGTTGCTGTCATCATAGAACTGTCATCATTACACTGAGGCTGTAAGATGGGATAGTGATATTTTTGAAAGCTGCTTAGTCTGCTGAGTTTTTGCTCTCTGGTCCTCTGCAGAAAGGGCTGTGGGACAGGGAAGCAGAAGCCCCAGGAGATACCCAGCACCTCTTGTTTTGAGCGTGAGAAAGCACAAGCTTTCACTTCACCACTTTCATTAGATCACAGAAAAGAGGAAGGAAAGTTTAAACCTGAAAAAGCTAAAAATAGCAGTTTTAAGAAAACAGTATAGTCTAGGAAAAGATTGCATTCATTCAGAACAGTCAAACAAATCTTGCCTTTAATAGCCAAAAATGGACAATCCTTTCATTTACCTAATATCTGTATTGGTAAATATTAGTGTTAGTATTCGTCTGCTACTTAACATTCGAAGTAAAACGTTGAATTAACTTAATCTTTTTGTATTTTCAGAGAAATAGTGGAGCATATGGTTCAGCACTTTAAAACCCAGATTTTTGGGGACCGCAAACCAGTGTTTGATGGAAGAAAAAACCTTTACACAGCTATGCCACTTCCCATCGGGAGAGATAAAGTAAGTTTTAAATAGAAAAGTTTCTAGTTGAAGATTTTAAGGTGGTATTTTCAGAGCCTGTCTAACAGCTGATAGAACAGATTGTTTCTGGAGTAGATGTCTCCTGCTGTTGTCGCTCTGCTCAGGGTGTGGTTTGCCAGGACTCAAGTGTTGTTGCTGTTGGAGTGGTCACTCCCCCTTCCATCTCCCTTCTTTCTTCCCTCTCTTCCTCTCCTCTGGTGTGGTTTCTGCTGCATTGGTGAGCTGGATCAGCTGCCCCAGACACTGGACCAGCTCCAGACTGGCACTGGGGAGAAAGTGAGAACAGAGCTGAGTTTAGAGGGGACTGGGAACACCCTCCAGGCAGCAGCAGCTGTTCTCTCACCTCGCTAATCTCATCAAGGCTCACTCTAAGCTTATTCTCTCTATCAGTAGCTGGAAGAAGCTCCTCCATCTCTCTGTTGCCTGTATAGAACCTCTTCCCTAATCCTTTATGACTGAGAGCCAAACTAATTTAAACTGCACAGGTTAAGACCTGCTATCTTAGCCCTGGGGCAGTTGGAGGGGACTGTTCTCTTTGCCAGCTCTCCGTGGGGCGGTGACCTCTTTGGGCTCTGGTTGGAGCTGCTCCAGTGCCCATTGACTGGTGAAGTAGAAGGGACTCTGTTGGAATATGCTAACACACAAGCCCTATAAAATAACTTAGCCTGGGCATCTGTGATCTGATACCAGTTTGAATTTTCCGTGGCCTTTTTATCGTTAATTTTCATTCATTTTTCATTCCTGATGGTAGTACAGTAAGTCCCTTCTGCTATGGGTGCAAGGTGAGGCCTGCACAGTTACAGGGAAGGACTATCCTATCCCATAAGAGTTGATTACAACCTCAAGAGACAAAAATAAAATGTAAGGGGTAAAGGGGAATACAGAAAAATGTAGAAACTGGGAACAGAGCTCAGGTCTTCTGAAATTCAGCAGCTCTAAAATAGTTCTTTGCTGTCCCATACTGTTTGCCTGTGCAGTGCTTGACATAGTTAATAGTTCTACCTGAATCAAGCTCTTAATCTCATATGTGAAATTTTTATTCCCTCCCAATCTGTGTAAGTGAATGTCGTGCAGTAAAGGTCAATCTCTCCTCCAGTCTTAATTACTCTTCATTAACCAATAAGGTAATGTCTGGGTAAACTATAAAGGGCTCATTAAAAGTATTAGAGATTACTCTTTTTTTCCTCATCCAGGAAAAAAGTTCCCGATCTTGCCAGAGTGATGATCACATGGAATAGGTGGTCGCTGAGGAGGTGTTTTTAGTGGAGGTTTAGTGGACAGTTCAGATGGTTTCATCTGTGGCTCACATTTAGGCTCACTTTCAATAAACTCCTGGTTTTTTTACTGTTTCCCATGGGATACAGGACACTGTCAGTTGTTCTGCTCTACATGTATTAATGTTCCCCTGGAGGAAAGAGCTAATAGAGATAAACCTTGAGCCGTTTAAAATCGGACGTGGGGAAATTTAGCTTAATGCAGGAAATTTTTAGATGGTGCTAAATTGGTTTAAGCATGATTTAAACCAGTGTGAAGCTTGTAGGTATTAGGACTTTGCTCCAGCATAATTAGATTAAGTTTCTTTGGTGGGGTTTTCTTTGTTCTGTACATAAAAAATGAGTAAGCTTGCTGCACATCTGATTACATTTAGGATCATATTGAAAAGATTCATGAACATACAGTGATTAATAGATGATCCTTAATCTAAGTGGAAGATCTTAGCTTACTTGCAGTATGCATTGGTGGTGGAAGAACTGGTGCTAAACAGAGGGCTGACACCAAATTGCACTCTCTCCTCATCTCTTGTTGGTAGTGGTTGTTGTGGCCTGGGTTTTTTTGGTCTTTGCTGACAGCTCTGCTTCTTTTATAACTTTTTCTGTGTATATAAATACTCTTCTGCTTAGCTTTCCTGGTTATCAAATCTGTTTTCATTCTTTCCTTATTGTACCTTATTTTCACTCTTTAATTTCTTCATTTCTTTAGACCTTTCAGAACAAATATGGAATATGTAAATATTAATATGATATTTTCTTTTTTACTTGTACATATTGAGAAGAAAGACAGTGTTAAGGTAGGAAGATATTTAATAGTCTCCTCTTTCCTCATATGTTCAAGCAGCAAACCCAGGTCACCTCCAACAGCAGCTTTGTACTCAATTCCTGCATTACATATGTATCTCCCTAAAATGTCCCTCTGCAATTAAAAGCTAGAATTTAATTTTAATTGAACTTGAGAGTTCTCTCACCTAGCAAGATACAGGAACATCTGATAGATCTTAACCTACATCTTAATTAGTCTTTAATTAGAAAAACAGTAATTATGAATGAACCATTCAGAGCAGTTGGATACAGCAATCCTGCTGCTGTTCCCTTTTCCAGAAGGAAAATCTCAGTCCTGTCCATGGCCACAAACCCCTCTCTCTGTTTGAAGTACTGCTGAGAGCTCTGTACATGACAGAAGCAGAGCTCTTTCCTACATCCATAGCTTGAGGTTTTCACACAAGGCTGTGGGAGGTAGGCAACCAGATATTTGATTGGGAACTGTTCATCTGCTTTCCCCTGAATCCATGGGAAGGAAAAGCTCTTGGATTAATAGAGAAAAGGTACTTTGTATGCTCAAAACACAAAATAATTATGTAATGTTGCCTATATTTTATACAGAAGAAAGAGTACTAAGAATTCCCCAAAAACACATGGTCAGGTTTAATTTTTATTATTTTTAAACAGTGCTATTATGATTTGTATTAGTAATTCAGACCACATCAACTTCAAGACCTATTCTTTTTAACAATGGCTTTAAAATTTTTCTACAGGCTTAATGATTTTTTTCATCCTGACAGTAAAATCCCTTTCATTTAGTTCCTTTAGCTGCAAAATTATGTTAACTGTCTTGCAGTTTAGCAGTGGGTATAGCAGGTAGCAGGTTAGTGACTGAGATTGTAAATTTTTTTTATTATTTGGGGATAGATTATAAATCAAACATTAAATTTTGCTGTAGAGTTTATCCCTAATAGTTACGGACATAGTAAAATTCCCATTTAAAATTACTTTCTTTTTGAAATTTTTCTTGTTATGTTTACTCTGTCAAACATAAATGTGTTCATTTGTCCTTTAAACTATAGGGTGGAATAAATAAAATATTACTGAAAGATATAGACTCTGATTAGCAGTGCCTGAAAGTATATGTGAACTTGTGCATGAGGATTAAGGACACATTTTTTTATATTTTTGTGTTTTGTTTTGTTTTTTTTTTTAACTACACATAAACTTTCAGTAGTGTGTAAATGAAGTGAGATATTTAAGGGGAAAAAAAACCAAACAGGAAAGTTGGATTTAAAACTTACTTATTTGAGCAGTGACTCTTAATTCAGCTCTTCTGAAGTGGAGTCAGACCCAGCAGCAAAAACTGCTTGGGCCAAATTCAGCAGTCACAGCTCTGCTAAACTTCATCAGTGTTGGCAGTCGAACACCTGGAATAGAAATTCTTCAGTGCTGGGTCGTTTATTTCCACCAGGGACACGGATACTGCAACACATTCTTCATCTTCCATTCTATCATGGTGAAGGAGTTTTCTGAATAGACACCAGGGGAGGGCGAAAAAAAGTAAAATTAAATCTTTTGTTTAGATTAAGGGTGCCAACAATTATTAATAATGAGATTAGTTGTGTATTAAGAGTATTGGGAATAAGTGTAGAATGGTTTTGGTTGGAAGGGACCTTAAAGGTCATGTCATTCCAACTCCCTACCATAGGCAGGGCCACCTCCATTAGACCAAGTTGCTCAAGCAGAAATTACAAAACTTGATTTGGAGGAGGAGAGAGGTTTAAAGGAAAATACACCTCAGGAGCGACAGACTCTTCCACCTGCTGTACATGAGAGCCAAGTTGAGGACCTTTTCATGGTGTGATGGAAAAAAAGGTTTCATGGAGAACTTCCAGCCTGTGTGAGCTGAAAACTTGTCCCTGTCTTTGCACAGATTTGAGCTGAGCTGACCTTCTGGGCCAGATTCACCCCCGTGACCCCGTGATTAGACTCCAGTTCCCGTTGCTCTCCCACGGCCGTGCAGCTCCTTCCTCTGCTCGGGTCTCCTGGGGAATGACGTTTGTGCTCGAGGAGAGATGCAGCTGTAATATTAATTTTGTGTGCCTACTATAGATGGTCAGCTCATTTTGGGGGCACAGGGGAAGGCTTGTTATTTGTGTTTTATCTTTCCTTCCTATTTTTGGACAGAAGAATCGAACTGTCGCAAGAGACCAGATGCTGGCAGATCCTGGTTTGCTGTTACCCACCTATTATTTTTGCTGGCCCACTAATTGCAGTTTGTCTGTTAAGTGGATGCCTTTTGTATTTAAATTGCAAGCTCCCTAGGACAGGAAAATACAACGTTTTTTGTTTGTATCCAGCACAAAGGATACTCTGATCTTGTTATTTCTTGTAGTCACTCCCACAACTGCTAATCATTTCAGACAAGCCTTAATTTTAGTCGGCTTAAGAACTTGGGTGCTCAGACTTTCTTTAAGAAAGAGGAGAAATCAGCATTACAAATAATTACAAGTAATTGGATGAAGTAATTTACCATAATGTAGTTTGTCAGTGCTTTTTTAGACAAAAAAATTCAAAGTAGGCATAAGATGGCATAAGATGTTTCGTGCCTAATATCATCATTAGTACTTGGGGGTCACCATTTATTCTTTCTTTGGTATTTAAAAATAAGAGTGTTTTGGCTTGGTGGGTTTTGTGGGTTTTGTGGTTTTTGGGGGGGGTTGGTGTTTGGTTTTTTAATCTCTGTTTTAAAGCTCCTGTTTTCTCTTGTTTGAACTGTGTCTACAGCAGTAGTATATAAAGCACTCGGGTGCTCTAGAGAGCAAATACCAGAAATTCATGAGTCTTGGCAGGTGGTGACAGCCCATGTTTTATTTTGGGCGTGCAGGAGCTGACATGAGCAGTGATGCATTGGGACGTGGTAGGGATCTGAAATCAGGTTATCGGATCTTCACCGAGACCTCCCGGTTGATACAAGCGCTCCCAAATTACAGTGTTGCCTGACAGAGGGAGATAGCTGCTAGCTGGGAAGCACTCCAGGTTTCTGAAATACACCTCTGGGAAGATCTCAGCTGCAAAAAGAGGCTGTACCTAATGCATATTGTTGCTTCATCACTGCTTTTTGTCTTCTCCCGTGCTTTATAGGGCTGTTCAGAGGAATCCATCGTCCCTTCCGAGCCCCTTCCATTTCCCCCCCTCTTTCAATGGAAAGAATCATCTTGGTTTGTTGTTTGGCATTGTTGCAGGTGGAGCTGGAGGTCACGCTGCCAGGAGAAGGAAAGGACAGAATATTTAAGGTGGCTATAAAGTGGATGTCCTGTGTGAGTTTGCAGGCTTTACATGATGCTCTTTCTGGCCGGCTGCCAAGTGTCCCGTTTGAGACCATCCAGGCACTGGATGTAGTGATGAGGCACTTGCCTTCCATGAGGTGAGGGGAAGACCTTGACGTGGTTTAGGTGTTATTTAAATCGCTTTGGTGGCCTTTTTGGGTAGGATGTGCTTTCATAGCCCAACCACAGCAGATGGCAGGCTCAGGCAAGGGGTAACACGGTGCTTTTGGCTCATCCGGTGGGATTAGGAGCCTCCAGCCTGGGACACGAGACCCTTCCCCCAGTGTTCTGGCTCCCTGTTTGTGTGCTTTCGGCTCAGGGGTGTCCTGCCATCTCCCTCTTTTCCCTGTAGCCTTGGAGAAGGAAACTCTCCTCGAGTGGGAAGTACTTGGAGGTTGGTAGAGGTGGAAGGGTGGTTTTAAATCAACTTGTTACCCTTTTCCTATGTGTCCTTGGGCAGATGTTCATTGCCAGTTCTGTATAAAGGATACAGTGCTGGGGGGACATTAATGGCACCCTATATGGCTATTTTTATAGAAAAGAAAAACTGAAAAACTACTTGACTTGTTTTATTTTCCAAGTAAGTGGGATCTACAGTATTTTCAGTCACACCCAAGAGATACTGGGCTTAATTCTGCTGCCATGAAACAGGTCACTTAAGACCACTGTGCAAATTATATTCAATTGGAAAGTAAAGTTTAGTAGGGCTGAACATTTCCATTTTGAAGGGCTAAACAGGGAATATGAGTTAAACTTATGCAAATTACTTTAAATAGCCTTATAGTATGTTGACTTTATCCTCATGTTATGGATTAAAAAGGTTTTTAACTTTAATCAGGTTTTACAGCACAGAAAACAGCCCATACTGTCAGGTAGTTTGTTCAGAGGATCATACTGGCTCTGGATATGATCGGTTTGCTATTAAGTGTGCAGTACTTAATTATCAAGAGGAAGGATGTATCAGAAATATTTATTAGATCATTTGTTTACCCACACATAATGTCTGTTGTGTTTCAGAGTACGCACAAGTAAGGGGAGAGATTATTGTGTTGGTGTTTAAATAGCAGAGATGTTTAATTCTTTTCTTACTGAAGCACAGCTGAATTTTTAATAGAATGCAAATAAAAATGCTTTTTGTCTGAATTGGTAGATATATTAAAGAGTATACTGAAAATGAAGTTAAACTTGAGTAGTAGCCAGTTTCTTACTGTAATGAGCTGGATTTTAGAGGTGTAACCAGAGTCCTGCCAGGAATCTCAGATTATTGGTACTTTGAATCTCTGACATTTCTGTGCTTTTGTGAACAGGAATTTTTTTTTTTGCTTTAGTTGTCTGATGTGCATTTCTTTGCTTTATTGCAGGTATACTCCCGTGGGGAGATCTTTTTTTACAGCATCAGAAGGGTGCTCAAATCCTTTGGGTGGTGGCAGGGAGGTTTGGTTTGGCTTCCATCAGTCAGTCAGACCTTCATTGTGGAAAATGATGTTAAATATTGATGGTAGGTGCTACAAAATATAATGTATTGTTTCTTCTTTCTCAAATACAGTTCCATTTGTTGGATTTCTTAAAAATGTTCTTAAAAATGTTCTTAAAAATGTTCTTAAAAATGTTCTTAAAAATGTTCTTAAAAATGTTCTTAAAAATGTTCTTAAAAATGTTCTTAAAAATGTTCCTCTGTGTTGTTGCAACACACCATTAATGTTTTTGTCTGCAGTGTCTGCAACTGCATTTTACAAAGCACAGCCAGTGATCGAGTTCGTATGTGAAGTTCTGGACTTCAAAAGTATTGAAGAACAACAAAAACCTCTGACAGATTCCCAAAGGGTAAAGTTTACCAAAGAAATAAAAGGTAATAAATTATATGAAACTGCTTTATTCATCTGATGTGTTACCATGACATCTGCAAAATACTTTCTGTATCAGTCACTGTATTTGGAGATAAAAGCTTAATATTTTTCACTTTTGAAACATATCAGTAGTGCCAATCCCAGTTCCATGACAAAGATACTCCAGTTCCTAATCTGTTGATTTCTAAATATTTACAAAGATTGGGATTTCATGTTTTTTTAATTACCCAAGCTTAAATTTTTCCAATTGCTGATGTTGGGATTTTCATATTCCAGTTCCACTCAACAGTACAATTCCAACTCCAGTTACTGATATGAGGATGTTTATATTCCAGATTTTACTATTAATTAACAATGTGGTTTTGCATGCTTAGGTATATTTCATACATACACTCTCCTGGAAGTAAATTACAGTTATTCTGCTGTATAGTGGCTGAAGCAAAGAGTCCAGGAGGAAGAAGTCTTACTGGTTTTGTTCACTTAAGGTTTCTCCTGGAAAACGGAGATCCTTCTTCCTGATATTCTTGGTAGAAAGAAAACAAGTTAAAAAAGAAAAACTCCATAAATCTATCCTGCACCTTCCTTTCTTGTTTCCACAAAATGCACACAAAATTACCTTTGCCCAGCTAGAAGTTAGCATGAAAAGTATAAGTGAATCCAGAGTTTGTGTTGGTTGTAAATGTTCTGAAAAAATATCAGGCACTGAGTTGCTTCATTCCATGAGCTCCTGGAGGCTGTTTGGGTGTTTTTTCTTCCCCACTCCCGATCCATGAGTTCAGGGCTGGCTGCAATAGTTGGAGGTCTCACAGACATTGTATGTTTAGACCAAAAATATAAACAAGGTTTTTTGTTTCAAGGAGGTTGTGTGCCCTTTCTGTCCTTTCCCCATCCCGGACTTCCTTGGAGGTAAGAACTGGAGTTCTCAGGATGTGTTCAGCGTCATCTGTGAACTCCTGGGCCTTTGGGATTTCATCTTGTCTCTAAAATTCTGTGTTGAACTTTGGCTGAAGCTCGGCGGCTCTGAATTTGAAGGCTGTAAATTGCTGGTTTTGAGTTCTCTGTGGGGATACCCTTTGGTGCTAAAGAGTAAATGGCTTCACTGCACAGTTTAAGTGGTCTTGTGCAGCAGTTTAGAGGCTGACACCTTGATTTTGAAGAGGTGGTGATATATGTTTTCCGATTTTTAGGTCTAAAGGTGGAGATAACACACTGTGGACAAATGAAAAGGAAGTACAGAGTGTGCAATGTCACCAGACGACCAGCAAGCCACCAAACGTAAAGGATTTTGCTGCTTTTTAAGCATGTTTGGTCTCAAGCTGGAAAAACACCTCGCTTGCATTGCTGACATAAGAAAATTTGCTTGAAAAATGATGCTTTTTTTGGTTGATACCCTTAAAATATACCAGTATTTTCCCAGCTTTGCTGTTCTTTTTGTTCTGTTTTATACTATAATGAAGACCATGGCATTTGAACCAATTGCTTCATTTTGAATTTGAGGAGTTTTTTGGTTGGTTGGGTTTTTCTTCTTTCTTCCTTTCTTTTTTGGATTTCTTCAACATTGGAAGAACAGAGTGTCCTGTTCATAGCCTGCTGTTTCTCACAACTTTCAAATAGAACAGTAATGCCCGCTGGGATCAACTTTCTAATCTTGCTTATTGCCAATCTATTTTTCCTCTGGAAAAAAATGTTTCTTTTTAATCACTAACCAGAGGTTTGCAGATAACTTGAATATGGAGGTATTGAATCTCATTTTTAAGGAAGTAATATAAGGAACAAAACTGATAGCAGCTTTTTTACAAGAAGATAACTGATGGTATCTAAATCTAGCATTTCATTGTTCGGGCTTTGTTTTGTGCTCTTTCAATAAGCTTAACTTGTGCCAAGAAATGTATTGAGGAACTGTGGGAAAGTATTTTGCATGAAGTAACAGCTTCTTTTCATATTTGCTTTCCAATAGATTCCCACTTCAGCAGGAGAATGGACAAACAGTTGAATGCACTGTAGCTCAGTATTTCAAGGACAGGCATAAATTAGTTTTACGCTATCCTCACCTTCCATGTTTACAAGTTGGACAGGAGCAGAAACACACATACCTTCCTCTGGAGGCAAGTAAACTCATGGATAATACTGTATTCTGGGACTGGGGGAAGGGGGACAGAGGGGAAGAAGGTTCAAATGTTGACAAACTGCTTTTTGAGTAGCCAACTTCAGAAATTCTGTAGCGCAGCAATGAACCAAAAAACAGTTGCATTTTGGTTTTTCATTTCCTTTCTGTGGTGGATATTTTAGGTGTGCAACATAGTGGCAGGACAAAGATGCATAAAGAAACTCACTGACAATCAAACTTCCACTATGATTCGAGCCACTGCCAGATCAGCACCGGACCGTCAAGAGGAGATCAGCAAGTTGGTGAGTGTTGTGTCAAACACGAGTGGGGTGTTGTGAGGAACTTAATTTTGCCTGCCTTTGGCAGGTACTGAATGTGTTCATGCCCTGCATACAAGTGATGAGCTTGTTTTTTATCAATTTTTTTAATTCCAGATGCGGAGTGCAAGTTTTAACACCGACCCTTATGTTCGGGAATTTGGGATAATGGTCAAAGATGAAATGACGGATGTGACCGGCAGAGTCCTCCAGCCTCCCTCAATCCTCTATGGAGGCAGGGTATGTCCAAGGGATACTGTACCCAAGGGATACACACCAGTCTGTGATGGCTTCCAGCACCAGCTGGGATAACTCCTGTAATATGGCTGTTTTAAATTAGTTATGTTGGATGTAAGGGGTAAAGTTGGCATAGGTGTAATGTTTGGAATTTACATTTAGGTTCTCAAAGTCCTTAAATGTAATGGCTGTGTTGCATCTCCTTCAGTTGCTTCCTTATTTCTGAAAGCAAAGCTGGGTTAAAAATGTGTCTGTGTAAACTCAGAAGGGTGGTTGGGCACTGGAACAGGCACATGCCTGTCAGGCACGTGGTGGGATTCTTGGGGTTGTCCTGTGCAGGGCCAGGAGGTGGACTTGGATGATCCTTGTGAGTCCCTTCCAACTCAGGGTATTCCATGCTTCACTATTTACCAGTACTTAGTGGTGTGCAAAATATTCATAGTATTTAAATTAGGTCCCTCTTGGAAAAGTTCACTGAGCAGTTGTAAAGTGCCACTGTAGAAATGTAGGTTCCCTTTAATGTTCCATACCAGGTGAATCTGACTTACTCTCCGTAACTAATTTCAATCTGCTGCTGATTTATACAACCAAAGGAAATGATCACCAATAAAAATGAACAACATGATCTTTATTTTTCACCTGTTAACAAGCTATCTTGCTACATGGATAGAATGATTGTTAAAAGATAGGATGGATATTTGCACAGGGAAGAGAAAGATCTGAGAGTACAAATCACCTGCCAGGTGGAGGGAACTAGGAGCATAACTACTTTTTATTTAGCATGAATCAAGTTTTGCCTTATTGTTTTATTTTCTTTTTCCTTCCACTTCCAGAATAAAGCAATTGCTACACCAGTTCAAGGAGTCTGGGACATGAGGAATAAACAATTTCACACTGGGATTGAAATAAAGGTCTGGGCAATCGCGTGCTTTGCTCCCCAGCGCCAGTGCACTGAAGTTCATCTGAAGTAAGTGTGTTTTGTAAGATGGTGATTTTATTACTTATTATGGATGGAAGTGTCATGATTTCACTTATTCATTTAGAATATATATTTTGTTAAATCGTTTAACATATGGCAGTACATCTTTAACAGTGCTTTTGAAGTTCTGTCTCTCTTTGGGTGATGGCAGTATGATTTCAATGCCAGCATCAGGAAATCCTGCAAATCAGACTTAACAAAGCCCATTGATGCTTTGTGGCAGATTTCTGACCAGTGATGGGTGTTTGTGTCAAGAGTGAAGGCTAACATGTATGTTCTGTTGGGTTCTGTTCCTGGTTGGAATTGCTTTCTTTGTGCAGAACTTATGTAAAAGGAAAATTAAAAAGCAATCCAACTTTTGTCTAAAACTTTTTCCCCTTTAGAGTTCCTGGATTGTGCAAGTTGCTGTATTTGCCAGATGAGTAGGACTAGTTGTTTTGTTGACTTTGAGCATTTATATGAAACTTTCAGATTTGGTTTCTTTATCTTTGGATGGAATATGATAGTTGAAAGAGTGTTGTTAAAAGTGACATCTACCGTCTTGGATGAGGGAAAGTGTGCAGGCCTGGGTGGATGCCTGGTTGCTTCTTTCACACACAGCTGCTTTCCCTTTGTGCATGGGCAAGTGCTGCTTTTGGAGCTGCCCTGACAGGTGACTCACCTTCTTTTTGTGAGGTGAATGCAGGGCAGTGGCTGCTCATACCAGTGCTATTGCCAGGGTTCCTTCAGATGATTTACCAAATAGCATGGGAATTTTTCCCTGACAATGATGAGCAAAGGGTGGGAATCTTACTTTTTACTGCCCATTGTGTAAGGGAGGAACTTGTTCTCTCCAGACAGATGGTAGGAATGAGGCTGCCATGGAATTTTCCCTTCCATGCTGTTTCTTCCAGTGGAAATGCTGCATAAGTGAAGTGATTCAGTTTTGAGAAATAGGCAGAATTCTTCAACATAGTGAGCCAAAATGAAATTATTTGATGGCTTAGATGGAGATGGTCCTTACCAGGAGAGGACATTTCTCCATGCAAGGAATATGGCTGTGTCCAGTTCCATCTTGTGGGCTCTTGTTACAACTTGTTGAGAAAGTTGGAACTCAAATGCTGTAGATAATGTCAGATTAAACCCTCAAATTCCCTACGAGTCTTCCAAATCATCCTGCTTTACCTCTTGGGAACGGGCAGAAAACCTTAGACACCTTACTTCCAGATGGACTTCTAAAACAGCTCAGGTTTTGAGCCATGAGACTTGAATGTTAAAACCAGAGAATGATTTGAGTTGGAAGGGAGAGTAAACCTCTTCTTGTTCCACCCCATTGCCACTGGCAGGGACACCTTCCACTAGACCAGGTTGCTCCAAGCCCCATCCAACCTGGCCTTTAACACTTCCAGGAATAGGGAGATGTTCTGCCACTGACTCTGCTACATTGGTGAGTGTCTGTTTTTCCAGGGGAAATACTGTGCCTGTGTTCTGCCAGGAGCCCCAGGCTGCAGGGCCGGAGCTCACACACTCTTATGATTCATGCAAGTTAACAATGGGTTTGGAAGAAACTAAATCTTCACACCCTCTCAGTGGGTGGCACCTTGGCACCCTTTGGTGAAGCAATTTAGACACCTGTGGGGGCACCCACCCCAACATAAAGGGGGCTTTTATCAGTGAGCTAAAAAGGCTTCACTGGTGCAAGCCTCTGAAAAACTTGGGTTGTCTCTATTTCTGACCAGTTCCATCCACTTACATTTGCACTGTCCTTGGAGAAGGTTTGTCTTCACCTCCAGGATACACCTTTTCTCTGGTATCTAGCAAGTTTTTCTTGTGCATTATTATTGATGTTAAATCAATTCACTGAGACAGTTGCTGGTAACTTCTGTTGGTTGTTTCCCTCAGCAAGAAGAAGGAAGTCCAGCCCTTTCTGTAGTGTAGTACCACATGGAATTAAGGTGGAGCAGGCTATCCAAAATGTCATTGTTGCAGTGTTTTTGAAAAGAAAGTAGCTTATGCTGTATCTCCTGTAGAAAGATGAAATCAGGTGGAATTTGCTTTGGAAATGATGTTTTTATTAATGGTGTTATTTATGCAGCATATTTCCTGTTTTTCCTTCCGTGACTACCCAGACGATTAAAGATGCACTTGGGATAAATGTTCAGGTTTTTGGACTGTTCCGTTAAAAATAAGAACAAAAATCAAGATGAGTTTTGCTACCTGAGAATCTGATGTATTTATTTACATCCTTCAGGTCCTTTACAGAACAACTGAGGAAGATTTCCAGGGATGCTGGAATGCCAATCCAGGGGCAGCCGTGCTTCTGTAAATACGCGCAGGGAGCCGACAGCGTGGAGCCCATGTTCAGACACCTCAAGAACACTTACACTGGGCTGCAACTTGTCGTGGTGATTCTGCCAGGAAAAACACCAGTCTATGGTCAGTAAGTGGAAATTGTGTGTTTCAGTCACAACTTCATGTGGTTTTTGGGAAGTATCCAAATGAGAGAGGTTTAATGCTGGTTTAACTATATAAATTCCATTTAGGGAACGGGCTATAAATTACTTTTATTATTCTTCTTGTGTTGCATGATGTTTCATTATTTTTTCTGTGCTTTTAATTTGCTTTTCCATATTCTTCCTGCTGGTTGCATTTGAGATGCAGGTTGTGAGTGAGAAAGCTAAACCAGGGCTTTGGTGAGATTGATGAAATTGGTACACAGTGGGTTAAAATATTCTTAATGTAACCTGTGTGCTGAAGATTCCAAGTGATTGAAGAAGTAATGACCTCCAGAACTGTGTAGCTTTTAGAGCATCTTTGCTTACTCACACTATCACCCTTTGGCAAAAAATCACAGAAGATGCTGAGTTGGAAGGGATCCACAAGGATCACTGAGTCCAGCTCTTAGCCCTTCACAGGACCAGCCCCAAGAGTCAAACCATGCGCCTGAGAGCATTGTCCAAACACATTTGAACTCAAAATGGTTGAGTGAAGGAGAAGATTTCTGTCTGGTTTTCCTATTATTTCAGTTTTTTAACTCTGGTTGTGAGGATGCAGATGCGTGCAAAGTGAAAGCTCAGCAAGCTAAACTGTTTCTTAGAAACAGAGGGACAGTCAGTGCATTTTGCATAGCACACACACACAGGTTTTAATGTTTTAGAGAAATCATACATTTTGGTTTGAACCAGCTCTTCCTAAAGGCAAGACTGCTTGTTTTCCTGTCCCCTTTTCACTTACCTTGCCTAGTTGGAGCAGCATCCACTATTTTTCTTCTCTGGCTTCATGGACTCTCTTCTCTAATGGCTCAGATCTACCAAGCAGCTGCAGATTTGTTTTATCCCATCCCTCACCCTCACCAATTTAAAATAACACAAAATAATTTTCTAAATTTGAGATTATCTCATTCAAGATGAAAGGAGAGATTAAACAAGGAACCTTAAGGAAACAGTACTTTGTTTTCCCCTTGAGTTCAGCCTTGCAAAGGAAGTGGCTCATCTCTAATCTGTTCAATAGAAGTTCAGTGCAAAATGGCATTTTCACTTTTCCTGCTTGGCATTAAAAGGGAACTCTTTCCTTTACTTAACCACTGAGAGGATGTGGTACCGTTCTCATCTGCTTTCCTTGTCATTATCTTTAATTACAGTTATTTCTGCCCCCTCTAATCATCTCTCCTTATTTTCTCCCTGCACTCTTCCCTGCCCTGCACTTCCTATGCCCACAGCCTTGTCTTTTCTCCTCTTCCCACCCTGCTCTTTTGCTCTCTTGTTACCAGAGTGGAGGTTGCATCTTCTCTGAGCCTGTCTTGGAGCCTAAATTTCCTCCCTGACTGTAAGAGTATGGCTCTCTTAAAGCCTTTGAGTCTCAGTTTTGTTGTTAATGATAGGATTTGGTTTAACCTTTGGAATTGTACAGTACTTAATGAGTTTTTTGGAGTTTTAAGGGCCATCCTTTGCTGAACTGGCCACTTTATATGCAAGTGATAAACTTGCAGTGGTTGGCTGAATGTTACTCAGCACGTTACTATTACGTTTGTGTTACTAGTCCAGTGTTTAATAATGAAACAAGTGCTCATCATCCTGATATTACCCACATCATTAACTAAAGGTGATGATATAACACTATAATTCTAAAATAACAATTAAAAAGAATTCTTAGTTAATATATAAGCCAACAGTGCCTTTAGTTATTATATTTAGTCACTGGGAAGGTGGTGCAGTGCAGGACTGGGGGGAGGTTCATTGGAGGCTGTGTTAGGTTTTGGGGTTAGGTTTTGCCTTGTTCCTTTAAGTTTGATGACCTCTTTGCTACAACTCTAGGTGTAGTTAATTGATGCTGAATTCACGTCTCCTGCGTGGTTTGATTTGCAATTTGCAAATGTTTTTTGTTTGTTTCTTTCTGTTCTGCAGCGGAGGTGAAGCGCGTTGGCGACACCGTGCTTGGAATGGCCACACAGTGTGTTCAGATGAAAAACGTCCAGAGAACAACACCACAAACCCTGTCTAACCTTTGCTTAAAAATAAATGTCAAATTAGGAGGCGTAAATAACATTCTGCTGCCACAGGGAAGGTAAGTCATCTTTCAAAAAGGAGGAGGGGATTGTATTGTAAAGAGAACGTGCGTCATACTGAGATAACCGAGTGCTTTTATCTGCAGTCGTAGCCCTGTAGCTTAAGAGACTCTTCAGACAAACTCTCTTTTGGCTTCTAATAAGTAGTCCTGCAAAAGTTAGGTTCCCCAGATTGGAGAGGAATTCTTGTTTCTGTTGGAATTTATAATAAAAATATTGTTATCGCGATCTGACCATTGAAGAGCACAACTTCCACTTGAATGAAAAATCTGTAATATTCTGTTTGCCTTGAGTTTTCAGAAAGAAGCAGAGACCCTCTAGAATAGTATGCCTTTTCCTTGATAGTTTAATTGTGGTCAGAATTCTTCATTTTGTTGTATGTCTTAACTTACACAGACATTTAAAGAACCAAAAGCTGGGATCAGAAAACTCAATTGGTTTCCAGGTCCAGTTTAACTTGTAATTTCTTACTTGTGTTACATTGATAAGGTTTGATTATACTGTGACTATAATTCAGTGAAGTTATCTTGCTGCTACTGAATTCCATATCTGATGTGTCACTGAAGTCCTGTGTGTAGTTGAGAGGGAGTGAAACAAATGCTATTTGTCAAAAAAAGAGGGACCTTGCCTTTAACATCTTAAAACAAACATTCTGAAATTGAAACTTTTTACCATTTTTATTAAAAAATCAGTGACAAATTCTAATGGGAGAATGGACAAAATACAGCTTGTTTTTTCTTACCTGTGCAGGATAGAGAAGCCTAATGTAAAGATAGATAAAGTTACTTCAATCAAAATGAACAAATGTGTCTCTACATCAGTAAAAAGAGGACCTTTTTACAATCATTGCATTTCCAAGTTGCAGAGAGAGCTCAGGGAATAACCTGCTACATCATTCTTGGGAGCCTGGTTCAGAGAAATCAACATTCTGTTCTGCACTGATAAGCAAATTTTCACTTAAGAGTATTTAGGCTGGTCAGGAGGCACCTGCTCAAAAATAATCCAACAAGTACTTAGGGAAGAAGAAAAAGAACACATTATCAAAGGGATGTATATCTGTGTATCTTGTTAAATTCTGTGTATTGAACTCAATAGACTCAGCCTGGGTTTGTTGGAGCCTCCTGTTAAAGCAAGTGAAATCATGGTACTGCAGAGTGTGTGATTCAGAAAGGCACAGTGGTGGGGGTTTTGTTGGGTTTTGGATTTGTTTTTTGTGAAAATGGAGTTAAGTAAAGGGGGAAAATGGCACAACTACACACAACACCTTGGCATTCTGTACAAGTGCAGGTTTTGGGTATTGAAAACAGAACTTGCTAATTATTATTTTCTGTTGGCTGAGGAAATGGGAATAGAATTGGCATTGCATGCTACATTGTTATAATTACCTTCCCATTTCTTTTTAGAGAAGGTCTTCAAATAGCTTAATTTATCCCCATAACCATTTAACCACTCCCCTACACACCCACATACACACAAAAAAATTCTGGTGGTGGCTTAAGATTTTCTCTTTAAAAATGCTTTATTAAGGAGTAGAGTTGAAGCTTAAAATTTGCATTGTAATGTTGTGGTGTTCTGCTCTTGGTGCAGTGGATTAATAACTTAAAGGTTTGTTTAAAGCTTTGAAGCATACTTTTTAAAAAATCTACTTTTAAAATAATAATTTTACTAGCTACAGTTTTTGTACTTCTTCACCAACACAGAAAAAGTATTTTTATTCATAGCATCTTTTATATTTCCCAGTCCTTTAATTTTCTCAGATGCCAATTGATGCTAAGGGATCAACTTTTATTCTTTTCCATGGTCTGATTAATAAAGGCTCCAATTCTCCAAGTTAAAAAAAAGATATATTTTTAAAGTAACTTGTAATTAAGAGTAGTAATTAGCTGTGCTTTAAAAATCTGCCCAAGTATTTAGTATGAGAACCTTAATCAGGATTTCTAATCACTGCCACAGGACAAGTGATCAGCTCTGCTCAAGTGCCAGTTGTTGAGGAATTCACTGCAGGAGTACAGAGTGCTGCCTATTGGAGTTTTAATGTGCTTTATTAAGCAGAAATCTTGCTGCTTTTACAAATTTCCTCTCTCTTTGCCAGACCCCCAGTATTCCAGCAGCCTGTCATATTCCTTGGTGCAGACGTAACTCACCCACCAGCTGGAGATGGGAAAAAGCCTTCCATTGCTGCAGTGAGTGAATTGTGTCCTGATCTTTAACCCCAGCTCTCTCCTGCTGCTCAGCTCTAATGGAGTTTATTGCTTTCAGTTCATTTGTGGTCCATTGCTTCTGATTGCCTAATTATAGAATTATAAATTATTTTTCTGCAGGAATCTAATGAAACTTCAGAGAGCTTGCTCTGCTGCTAATTACTTAAATGGGTGTATTAGCTTGTAAAATGCCTGAGCTGCTCTTGCACAGAGGAGCTTTCCTGGGAGCTGATATTTATCAGCAGCCTGTAATGAGCTGGTGCATGTTTAAATCTGCTTCTTCAGCAGTAAGAAATGTTAAGAATTTCTTCACTGCTGATAGGGAACTCGGCTGGCTCACTTGTGGGTTTTGGGGGCTCAGGCTTCCTGACCACACAGAATGTGCAGTGATCTCTTGGAAATGTGCTCCTGAATATAGGACACTGTGAAACACCTGTAATGGCTGCTCTGGATTATTTAATAATGAAGATCTTTGGTGGTATGTGCAGTATCGTAGCCTGTAATGCTAAATAAACAAATACCTGTTTTAGAAAGTTATTACACCTGTGTGTCCAGGGAAAATGAATGCTGGTGTTTCATAAACATAAATCCATTCCCTTGGTGTGGATATTTCTGTAGTGCCTCACTGTTTCAGTTTGATGGACTTATCCCCAGTGTCCCGAAAAGGGACTTGGTCTTCCAGAGTTCAAATTCCTGTTCTGCAGTCTGAACTAAATCAATGGTTTCATCATATCAGGTCTCCAAATTGTATTTGACTTTTTTTTAAGTGTATGTAGGTGCAAATGGGAAATTAGTCTTCTAGATTTAAAATAAGTTTTCCCTTTCAGCAGGGTGTGTTGCCACAGGCGGGCAGAACTCCAAAGTCTTTCCAAGCCCATTTTAGTTTCAGCTACATCTTTGCCAGGTCAACCACTTAGTTTGCAAGACACCGTTAAAAAGACAGTGCAGTTTTCTTATGAAATACCTTTATTAAAGTGCTTTTTGGTTTGAGACTAAGCATTTTTTCCCCCAGGTTGTGGGAAGCATGGACGCTCATCCCAACCGATACTGTGCCACCGTTCGGGTCCAGCAGCACCGCCAGGAAATCATCCAGGATTTGGCTGCCATGGTCAGGGAGCTGCTCATCCAGTTCTACAAATCAACGAGGTTCAAACCGACTCGGATCATCTTCTACAGGGACGGTGTTTCGGAGGGGCAGTTTCAACAGGTGATGTTTTCCTTTTTGAGATGTAGTTTACTGCTAGTAATGTGGTTGTATGTGATTTGAGTCATGCAAAAAAAAAACATATCCTCAGCAAATCTTCCCTCGGCGAATTTGTTGGGTTCTAACCAAGCAGGGCAGGAGAAGTGTTTCCATATTTCTCATGTGGTTTTTAAAATACTTTTCCCCTTTAAAATAATTCCCTTTACAAATTATAGATTATGAAGCATAGTTTTAGCACTCGAGTTATGTTCCACATCTGTGACCTGTTCAAGATGTGTTAGTCAGACTGTATCACACAGAATGTGGGCAGTAAAGAAAAATTAATGTAAACTAATGTTCCTACTTTTTAAACCAGGATTAATAAATGATGTATTTTCACACTGCCACTTTTAATTGATTCCTTATAAAACTCATCAGATACGTTGTTGTATTTATTTTGTTTGCTTGCAAAGACCATATTTTATGAAATATTTTTCTATATATTTTAAAGATATTTACATACACTTTCTTTTCCAGTATTTGTATGTAAATTAAAATATACAGAATGTAGTCAGCTTCTCAAAACCCAAGGGGAAGGGAGTAAAGGTCACTTAATTAACTTGAATTGATAAAATAATCTTTGTATGAAATTTTCTTTTTCAATTACCACTGGTTTTCACTGAATTTTTAACGTATAATTAACCTAAATTTCAAATCATTGCTTTTTCGTTTATTCCACTTTCCTTATTATTGATGCCTGTAGTCCTGCATGAGATTTCACAAAGCTGGGAAAGAGCAGCTGAGTAATTCTGGATTTTATCCCTTGTACTAGTCTGAAAAATAATTAGTCTGCTGTATATTCAACAGCCTAATTAAATGTTCATTTGTATTTGGCAGTTAAAAAGATTTTGACATGCAGTGTATTAGTCCGAGCCTAATGCTTGGAGCTGAACAAATATGGAAGCAGCTCTCGTCTGGCTCAGGAAACTGGTGACCTAATTTGTTCTCATTAAGGGAAAAAATTAAGGTTTGATCCTGAATGCTTTGACATCTCGTTACTCTGAGTGACAGTGCAAGAAGGAACATGATAAATAATCTGTAGATAAATAAATCTGTGGGATTGCAGCGGTTCATATTTGTCACACCTCTCTGTGTTTGTGGTTCAGGTGCTGCACCACGAGCTGCTGGCCATCAGAGAGGCTTGCATTAAACTAGAGAAGGATTATCAGCCTGGAATCACATTTATAGTTGTGCAGAAAAGGCATCACACCAGACTCTTCTGCACGGATAAAAACGAACGGGTATGTTCTGATTGTGACCAGCACGTTTCCAGCAGGCAGCCAAGGCACCTGTTGCTGCTGATTTTTGGGACTTTCTGTGTGGAGAGGAGACTCCCCAAGCCCAGGACGGAGTTACTGCTGGGAATGGAGAGTTCCTAATGGCAAATCTCTGCTCACAGATATGGCTCTTCATGTTCTCTTTCCTTCTGTCAGGCTTCTCTGTGGAAGCACTTGAAACCCACTAGATTTCAAGGCAGTAATTATTAACTTCTAATGCTGACATGAAGGTAGTTGTTAAATTAATAAATGCTGTGATTACAGTTGTTAAATTGTTTGAAAGTAAAGAGTATTTTTTTAGTTCTGCTTTGAAGAGTTTTTGAGGGAAGAGGCAGCCTGTCTGACAACTGAGGATTGTCCCCTCTCAGGTATAAACAGGAAAAGTTACAGAGGAATAACCAATGCTGGAGCGGGAAGGTGAAAAGAATTTGACAAATCAGTTGCAGAAGCTCCTTTTGACTTTATTCAGAAAAACTGATCTTTTTAGATAATATATAAGAGCAGCTTGTCTCTTTTTTTCCTCCATACTAGAGACACTGCAGATTTTCACTTGAACAAAATTTCAGTTTTGCTCATTCTCCTTCACTTTCTGCTTTTTATGGATCTTTTTCTTGTGTTTTTTGCTTGCTATAGAGCTGAAAAGGAAAAAAACCAACTTTGTGTGCCTTACTGTCTGCATTTTCTGTTCCCACAGGTTGGAAAGAGTGGAAACATTCCAGCTGGTACCACAGTGGACACAAAAATCACCCACCCATCAGAGTTTGACTTTTACCTGTGTAGTCATGCTGGGATTCAGGTAAGGCATTTTGTGTGGGATGGTCACTTTTCAGCTGTTAAAGCACCTTTAGGCAAAATGTTGTCTGATGGCTTTTTGTCAGATGTAAGTTTGTCAAGATGAAAGTGCATTTCAATACGACCATTTAATTTCAGTAACAGGGATGAAATTCTAGAAAACACAATCCTATCAAAAAGGAGAAAGGGATTAGTAAGATGGGGAGCAAGGAAGGAGGTTGTTTGCCTTGCCTTTTAAAGGAAAAATTTGCTGAAATCTGTAGAACTGCTCCATGTGATTTTTAAGGAAGCGGCCGTTCTGCTGCAGTTCACCTGCAGGGGTGGAAATCTAAGGAGATGTTTTTGAAAAACTGATGTCCCTGTGTGTCCTGTGCCCCCAGGGAACAAGCAGACCCTCTCATTACCATGTCCTGTGGGATGACAATCGTTTCTCCTCGGATGAGCTGCAGATCCTCACCTACCAGCTGTGTCACACGTACGTACGCTGCACCCGCTCCGTGTCCATCCCCGCACCAGCGTATTACGCACACCTGGTTGCCTTCAGAGCCAGGTACCATCTGGTGGATAAAGAGCATGACAGGTGAGTCCAGAGTTTTGGAATTCTTACAGAACTTGAAAGGAAGCAGGAAGGCAGTGGGCTTGCTAAGTCTATAATCAGTGGTGTCCTCAGCAGTTTGAGGGGAAATTTTACTGTTACCACTGAACTGCACTGCCGAAAAAAGGCAGATTTTCCTGCATGTGCTGTTTTCTGTTTCACAACTTCAGTGGTGCTTCAGGGGTGATTAACTTCTGACCATTCTGTTCAAAAGAACCAATAACACAAAAAACACCTGCAAGGAGAGGCAGATTAAACAGGGTTTCTCTTCCCCCCTCCCCCAACCTGTTGTGTTTTGTTTCCCCCCCCCCTCCTTCTCTTGCAGTGCTGAAGGAAGCCACACTTCTGGTCAGAGCAATGGCAGAGACCACCAAGCACTTGCCAAGGCAGTTCAAGTTCACCAGGACACGCTGCGCACGATGTACTTTGCTTGACATGTTTTAATGTTTAGCGACTCCGTACGAGACAGAGTTGGATTCACACAAGACCAGCTGCACTTAGACCAACCCCAGCTCCAGGGGCAGCCAGCAATGAGTGACACATCTTAATTCCTTTCTTTCCCGTTTTGCAAGGAAGCCTTCCGTCCAGAATTTCAGACTTGATTACAAACTGCATTCTTGTACCAAACCCCACTATTGTTGGAAATGTGGTTTGCCAAAAAATCTCTAAGCTGCTTGGTATAAAACAGACCCATTTTATAATTAAATCAAGAGCTGCATTCTCAGGGCTTAGGGAAGGAAAAAACAAACAAACAAAAAACCAACAACCCAACCCACAAAACTCCTCATTCAGTTTGCTGTTCATTGAGTTGCTTTTAATAATTTGGAAAGATCTAATTCATACTAAGGTTTGATGAGCTAAAATGCTGTGAATTACCTTTTAATGCAAAGCAAAGCATTTTTTTACTATTTATGAAGCCTTGATTATTCTAGATGAATTTACAAAATTTTTATTTTCAAAATAAGAGAGTGACAAAATCCTGGTTTTCAACTGTCTTATAAAGATTATTCTCAGATTATTCTCTGTGTGTCTAAGGGCAAATGTATTTTCTGAAGCTTGTTCTTGAATGTTTTTTATTGTGCTGCATTTGAAAATGTTTTTCATAGGCTAAAGATGAATTTAAAAAAAAAAAAATAAACTTGTACCTAAGCTTTTAATAGCTCCAGTTAGATTGGCAAAAGAAAATGTGCCATTTAAAAAACTTGTAAAGATTTTTTTAAAAATCATACTGACAGCTAACTTTAGGATTTGTCATACAGGACTGTGACACTTACTTTCCAAAGTCTATAAAGAATACGGGTCTGTGGTGATAAATACAGTACAATCCTTTTTCACTGTAGTTTGAGTTAATGTAAATTTTATATATGTTTCACAGTATTAATGTGATAGACTAGATGCTATTATTTATTTTTATTTACTAAGGAGTGCTCATTATACTTCTGTTAACATATCAAGAATGCTTTGAACTTAGAAAGTGAAAACCTTCTCGTGGGGACATTTACTCTTCAAATGCAAAAATATGCAATCGAGGTGGTGAGAGCTCAGAGATACAAACAGTGTCTGTTGTAGCTTGGGATTTGCAGAAAGGCTTTTCAAACGTGCACACAACACAGCAGGTTTTACCTCTGCGGTTCAGAGACGCACACGAGACCAACACCCTCCGTTCATTCAAGCACAAAACAATTGTATTTTATTTATATGTTGAAGATTGGTGAAGCAGGAGCTCCAGTAGGGGAGAGTGGCTCGCTGCAGGTTGGACAGAAGTCAGAGAATCTATGCAGTAAAGATAAATCATAGGAAAACTGAAGTTTACTTAGGGAGGGAGGTGAAACTCTTCGTTATGCATGAGGTCCATAGGAAATGTGAGAGTTTTGCCATTCTCTGAGGAGAAGCATTAATTACAACTGATAATTTCTAGACAGACGCTTCTGTTAGTTTGCACACTGGATTCATAAAAACCATAACACACATGTAAACCATTGCACTAATTACAATGCCACAGGCAGGTTTAGGAGAAAATGGAAAAAGCCCAGAAAACTTGTTTATGCTGACTTGATCTTGTTTGTTTTGCCATAGGAAAACTGAAATAACGTGCTAAAGAGGCAGGTTTGAAAATTTTCATTCTCTTCCACTGGTGGATTTTGCTTTTTTTCCCTTTTCTCTGAGCAACTGCTCAGTCTGGTTTGGATACTTTTACCTCTGGCCACTGGGACGGGCAAGTAGCTTTAACCCACACAGTGCTCTGGGCCATAGAGCAGATCCACTGCAACCAGTTGTTGTTGGATAAGCTAGAAAATGCCCAACCTTTGCTGCATAAAGACTTTTAGGTACATAATTTTGTGCAAGTTCAGATCTTCACCTTGTAGCAGTTGTGTTGGTTGTTGGTGTTTTTTGAGTGAGATGTAAAAACTATTAATGGAATCATTGTGTTTGTATTATTCTAATTTGGTGATTAGGCTGCTGGGGCAGAGTGTCTTCTTGGTTGTAGTTATAGAAATTCAGATTTAAAGCAAATCTTAAGCCAAGTTTAGGTAGCACTGTCTGTCTTGCTGTGTCCCAGCCAGGTTATACCTACCTCCCCCCAAGCACCCTAAACTGCAGAACCTTCCCATGGTGGGTGTGTTGCACTTCCCCGTCTTTCCTTGAGAGGTTTCCTATTTCAGTGAAGATTTTAATTTGGCAAAAGTTTTTATATAAGAATTATTTTTTTATATGATATGTTCTTAACACATAGGAAAAAGACCATCTGTTTTAAGACACCATTTAGTTTATCTTGCTGTCTGTTATGCAGAGACCTCTTGGATGTGAAATTCATCCCCCTCTTTCCATGCAGATCTGGGATAAATGACTTGTACAGGTGGTCAGATGGGGCAAGGAGGGCAGGATCTGTCTTGACCTCAAATCTCATTTCTGAAGCAGACTCTGGGACTTCACTGCATCCTGTTTAGGATGTTTTCTTTGTGAGAAAAGGTGTTTTAAGCAGGCCCTTAATCTGAGAGTAGCTGTTGTCTGTGTATCTTCTTGGAATTAGCAGAAATTTTGTGTAGCTTTCCTTCCCTGAGTATGAAGAACTTGGGATGGTTATGTGCATTTCAGGACATTTTTACCCTTTACAGATCTTTCTAAGCCTCTAATACTGCTAATTCTTTATGCCTTGATGTCTCCCTCCTTTCCCCTCCCACCAGTGATGAATTTCTGAATGATTTAAAGCATTTTTCTAAAAAACACTGATTAAGTATATACTTTGAAAAGTACAGCATGCTGGCAGTCCAGCAGCTCTCTTTCTGGGATTATTCTTAATATAAATTACGTATTCAGGAATGTCTCCTGTGAAAAAAACCCACCTCAAACACCTAAAATCCTACTATTTTTTTTTCCTTACCTCCCACGTGTTTGGTGTAGAACAGCAACATCTCAGGTCAACACAAAGCTGAAGAAGTCTCAGTCTCACCCAGGTTCAAGCTGTAGCAGTCCCAGTTGAGGCCACAACTGTAACCACTGTGCAGCTCAGGGCAGCAATAACCAAACATGTCACCCCCAGGCACTTGGGATATTTTCCAGTCGTGTGACTCCCACTGCACAGCACCCCAAAAACCAGCATCAGCAAGGACAAAATGCTCCCCTTGGGAGGTAAAAAGTACTATCAGCAGATGTAAAACACTTGAAAGTTCTCTCTTTCCCTCCCCCCCCCCCCCAATGTGCAAAACCTAATGCAATAACAAGGTTTGCCCGGTGGTGGAAATTTCTGCTCCAGTGGCTGAATAGAATAACGTGTCCAATTCCATCTGTTCTAGCACCCAGGAAACAGCTGAGTTGATCCTTAGGAGAAAATGTCCTGCTGGGAAATGCTGGAAGTAGGTGGATTTGTCTCTGCCTTTCTGTGAGTTTGCATTTCAGACAGCCCCTATGCAATGTAACCCTTCAGTGTGTGTGCACTGACGGACTGAGGGAGATCACTTGTTTTATCAGAGCTCCTTATTTTGGCTTGGCTTGGTTTTGAATATTTGACTTTGTGAATCACAATCAATGATCTTCTGTCTCCCAGGAGCTTTGGCACATTAATCCCCTCATTTCTAGATCTGTCAGGGTCGGCTGAGTTTGCTCTCTGTTGTTAGGGAAAGCTCTTCTGTCTTAATCTGCCGGGGCCAACATGGAAAATTTACAGGAAACTTATGTTTAAAACAAGAAATCCATAGTAAATACTTTTGAAATCCGTAACAAATACCTTTGATCTCCTTTCAGGCCCCCAGGCAGCGTTCCCTGATTGTAAAAGCAAAAAGGTTGTGAAGGTTTAGCTTTAACTCTGCCTCTGTCAGTAACTCCTGCAGCCTTCGTCCATTTGAACAGTGTCTTGGTCTTGTTGGAATATTTTTATAACATGAGATATTTCCACAAGGGTTTTAAAATTTAAACTCTAGGTGTGAGGAATCTGGAATTTTGTGTGCCCAAGTTATTTTCTGAAAAGACTGAAGTTTCTAAGATGCTTCTAAGGTTTTTTTGTACATATGTCCAAAGGCTTTTGATGAAGTTGAAGGTTTTGGTCTGAGGGCTTTTTGATTGCTGCCAGGGCTCTTTGCTTTGCTGCAGCAGCTGATCCCTCAGACACAGGCTCACCTGTGTCTCACCTGTAGGAACCCCCATTTCCTTCATGCCCACGAATCCAAAATTTAACTGAGAGCAAGGCCAGGAGTAAGGCCTGTGTTAACACCCCCCAGCCAAATTCAGTGGATTGTTGTAGGGATTTTAGTGGACTTGCAAATTGTTTCTTTTTGAGGAAAATGTTGATCTTTGGGAGAGAGGAGAGGTTGGTTCTGCAGGTTCTGCTTATTCAGGACTGCATGTGCTGGGAATGCAGGACTGGGACCTTTGGAGATCAGATGGACATACTTGCTCTGGACTCAGTCAAATAAGCATCTCTGGTGGCATAAATAACCATTAGGGACTCTTGGTTTTTTGTTTTTTTTTAGGACATCTTTTACACATTAAATAAATGAATGTAAGAAGAGTTCTCAGTATTTTTCACACTCGAGACCAGTGTAATTAAAATCACTTGTTTTCCTGGTTTTTTTAGTGTTCTTCTGCCATAGCATCTCTCTTTGTGTATGAGACCTGCCAGTGTGGCTTTCCCCATTCCTAATGCAGGACAGTCCTTTGTTTTTTACTTTTATATCCATTTGGTAACATGCTTCTTCATGCACACTTGCCATCTTTTCTAAGGAAAACTTCCAAGTAGAAGGTAATTGCACTGATTTGTTTTGTTTTTTTTTTTTTTTAAACTCTCTTTTTACTGTAAGACTTCTTTGTGTTCTTTGAGGTTTTTTTGCATCTGCTGTAGCTGTTTAAAAATACTGTAAATAGTGCTCTTACAGCAAATACTGAAATGCTGGGGATACCATTCCTGGTTCTGTTTTCCAGAATACGGCCATATTTTACAGTGTCGAGATACAAGCTTTGGTGTTTAAATGTCGTTGTACTTTGATTGCATTATGGTGTCAATTCAGGAAGGGCACAGTTGCTTTATTACAGTGGAAGTATTTAGGGTTTGCCTGAATTTATAAAACATTTCTTTCTTCTCTCCTCTGTGCACGTTTCTCCCGCACCACAGAGATGCAGTTTTTAAGCTCTCCATGTGCTCGCTGCCTGTGCAATGCTCCAATGCCAATTTTGGTGTCAGTGAGATGACTAAAAGCATTAATGCAATATCTGGATTATCAGCTGTAGCTGTCACCAGTTTTTCTTGCTTATTCCAGGATCTGATCCTTGTGTTGTAGAAGCAGAACCAGTGTATGTGGCAGAATTAGTGGAATAAGAGGGATTTGGGATCCACATTACAGTGTCTTGCTGTCTGTCCCTCCGTGGCTGTGGGACTGGGGACTGCAGTGGATGTTTTAGTGCTCTGAGATAAGGAGTAGTGTTGGCTCTGGTTGATTTCCCATCCCTCAGCAATTGCCTTTTGCTTCCATATGCCTCAGGAATGGGAGAGACTCCAACTCCAGCCCCCTTGTCCAGAGTTAGGATGCAAACCAGCCTGGTTTTGAGGGTTAATGATTGGAAAGATGCATTTCTGAGGGATGTGTGAAGGAGTGTGTGTGTGTGTGTGGTGTGGCACAGAATCAGTTTGATCCCAGTCAGTGTTCCTGTTGCTCTGTCACAGATGTTTCTTTGCCTGAAGTGTTGATATGAATGTAATTGCTTGGCCAAATCACTACAAAATGGGTTTGTGACACTCCTTAGATACGAAGCAGGTGCAGTCCAAGGCTACCTCCTGTATTCCTTCCCAGGTGAATTCATTTAAGTGAATTTACCACTAAGCAGCCAAAATCCCCGTTTGGGCCAGTCGCTTAGGAGTTGGACTCTGATCCTTGTGGGTCCCTTCCAACTCAGCTCCCTCCGTAACCTTTCCCTTCACTTGAGTTTCTGTACTGTTTTTCCAAATGAAAAATGTTTCTGTACTTCAGGTTTTCACTGAAAATGATACGAAGGTGCTTGAAATATATTTTGAATCTGAGGCAAAAAAATATGTATTGGATTATTTTTTTAATGTATTTTTTAGATAAGTTGACATGAGACTGTAAGAGTGAGAATACTTTATTCCCTTCTCAGAAAATTATAAACTTCAAAACGGGCAAAAAAATCCCCCCGTACCAAAACACCAAAAAACAACCCTAAGCCTGGGTATGTTCTTCTTGTGACTATTTAATGTCAGTTCTCTGCAAAGTCTTGGCTGAAACTCAACCTTGACAGAAGTGCATATAGACTGAAGGTGCTTTAAGTGACCTGAAATGAAACTGTAGAAAACTGTGCTAATACATCAGACTTTGTTTACAATGAATCCAAACAAGCTTCCTCGTCTCAGAACGAACCACTCTGCTGAGCACAGAAGTGCTACCTGTTGGAGCACAGTGTGCTGGTGTGGTTTCACAGCAGTGTTAGAGTTTAGTTTTATTTAAAAGTAACTGGGCTTTGTGCTGTGGATTTTGGCCTCTCAGGAGTGAGTTTGGTGGGATTCTGTGTTCCCTGCAATTTCCTCTTGATCTCTGGGTGTAGACACTAATGAAGCTCATCCATGGATGAGCTGGAGGATTGCTGAAGTTCTGACTTTCTAGGAGCCAGTTTTTGTGAGTGACTGAATAAATCATTATAAATCAGCTCATTAATAACCGAATGGGGTAAAATCCCCAAAATTTGGTTCAGTTCTCAGTTATTATTTAATGAAGCTCCTCCAAAAGTGTGAAGTACAGGGTAAATGGCTGCTTTTGAGAAGGTATTTCACTACATCCTGTACTGCAGATCCACGGCCACTATTGCTGTTGTGGCCTGGCAGGGGTTTCACTGTGCAGGGATGCTGGAACGGCTTCTCCCTTGTTGATGGGAGGGGAGCTGTGTGCTTCCCAGACTATGTCTGCAAACCTGGGATCATCAGGAAGTTCAGGCAGGGGAAGAGCCCCGTGCTGGATGCTGGTCATGCTGTAGGGAAGAGCAATGCCAGGCACCCCCTCCCTTGAGGAGATGAGCTGAGGAGCGAGGGGAAGCATCTTCTTGCAAAATTGCTAATTAAGCACTTGTTAAGGTGACTGTTTAATTCTTGGTTTCCCTTTTGGCTTCCCTGCCAGTCCCCTCACAGATCCACCTTCCCCACACCCATCCATTGGCCCCTTCCCCACAGGGGGAGTGTTGGGAGGGAGTTCCTCAAGGTGATTTGTGGTGTCAGTGCTTCGTGTCTGAGAACTTTGGGCTTGGCTGGAGCCAGGACAGGGGCGTTGCTGGATTTGGAGGGGAGAGAGGCTGACAAGAGTTCATTTTGAGATTTTTGCACATGGCAGTGCTATGACCCTACAGCACCAGGTGAAGGGTGGCTGCTCCTCCCTCCCACCTAAATATCCCCAGAAGAGCAGTTGCTTTGGATTTGTCCGTGCGCTGCCTCTGCAGATGCATCTTAAAACTCCCTGTGGCTGCTCTTCCACCAAAGCTCCCTGTGGGATTTTGGAGAGCCCAGGATTGCAGGGCAGGTCTGTATCAAAGGGCATATTCTTTTCTCTAAGGTTCTTAGGAGTGCACAGGTTATGGTTGTGTTTTTCCCACATTTTTGGATGTGCTGTTGTACCGGGAGCTTTAGTTTTGTTTTTCCCCCCCCCCTTCTTTAAGCACAACTAAACCACCTGCTGGAATAACTACTACCTGCTCATCAGCAGGGATTGCAGATCCTGTCTGAGAATTGTCCACAAGAACTAAATTGAAACTTTTCTGGCCATCTTGTGGGGTTTTTTTGAGCGTGCTTGGCAAGCATGAATGGTGAACAGGTCAGCAGGCAAAGCTTGGGAGCCTCTAATCCCCTGGCTGGTGCTGTTTGTGTTTGCTTTGTTAGGTTAGATTTCCTGTCAGGGGAAAAAAAAATATAATGTGGACTCTTTTCTGTATTTATCAGCTTTTCCTGGTTTTAAATCCATGAACAGAGGAACTTTACTCGTGCCAGTATCTGTAAAATTGCACATTTTTGCCTGCCATGTACTTGACTCAGAGCAGGTCAGGGCTGGGCTTTCGGGACATGCAAAATCTCAGCTACGGGGTCATGTGCTGTGGGTTGGATCACAGTCCTCCTGTATCAGCAGGACATGCAATGAAGTTTCTTTCTAGATTTCACCAAAGTTAATTCTGCATCAGCTGTGAGATGCTCAGATGCAACTGTTTCTGTGCTATTGAAAAAAATACATATATTGACCCAAATTTTGGTATTCCTGATATGTTTCCTCATGTAACTTAATATGACTGAGCCCTTCAATTGCTCATCTCATAAGTGGCATCTTTGTAATTTCATTTTAAAGCAAACAAAACAAGGGGGGAAAAAACCCCCAAACAAACCATCAAAAACCATTAAGGAGTGAGTTTCAGAAACACGTATCTTGGAAAATCAAGTTTTCACTGAGGTGCAATGAGGAATTACATTTGCAAAGTTCTGTGCTATCCTGAAGAGTGTTACCGCTTGCTTTCTGTAATTTGTTGATCAAGTTTAGTAGATTTTACAGATGTGTGTGTGTGTGTGTGTATCCATTTGTGTGTGTGAGTTTACACACAGTTAGTGAAAGGCGACAGTTTATAGACTGTCTATAAAAGATAGAAAGGCAGTATTTTGCTGGAAATAATAAGCACAATTTCCCTGGCTTACTCAGTGTTTTATTAGTTTGTACAATCACAAAAGTCTCAGCATTTAGGGCAGTTGATAAATGAAGATCCAGCCCCAATTTCTGTGCAGCAAAGTGGTTAATTCGATCTCGGGAGGGCAAGATGGAAAACAGAATGTATTCATTAAATCCATATTTCCTTTTTCTCTTTAATCCTGGTACATTGCACATTTAACTGACGTCTGTTAAGGTTTTAATCTTTTGTTTAATAGTTTCTAAATCTTATTTTTTTTAATAAAATAACTGAAAAAGAACCAAAAATCAACTCAAAAGTTTCATATTGTAAATGTTCCCTTGAAGAATCAAAATGTTTTTATGGCCACTTAAAGTTTACTATTTTTTGTTGGGAGGGGGGGAAAGAAAAAGCTCTGATGTTAAGGTCGTTTCAAGTGGTACTAAATGTGTACTTAGTTTGTGTGTGTGTTGCATCTGTGCTGAACTGTCTTGTGCTTGCATATAACCAATGTAGTGCTGGCTGGGTAAGAGTAGCACTTGTAATGCAAAAACAGACCCAGAAATACCCTCAACTGACTTCTGAGTGCATCCCTGGTGTTGTAGGATTTCCCACACGGGTTGTACATGTTGCTTTATGTTCCTCCAGCCGTGGGGTGTCTCGAGGGGGGTGTGTGTGTGTGTAGTTCACCTCCCGTGTTTATCTCGTAGGGGAGCATTTGTGTGGCGACGCCACTTTAAACTAAGCCTTAACAAAACGATGGATTAGTCAGATTTTTCTCTCAGAGTATGCAAAAATACTGTTTAACACGGGGAGGTGTAAAGCTTAAATGTTAGTAAAGGAAGTCTTCTCACCTGGGGAATAGGGGGCACCCGCAGCTCTATACTGTGATGCCTCTTCAGGCACTGGCTGTCCTGGGCTCTCGGGTTCCTCTGGCAGCCAACGCCAAACAGGCTTTCCCAAATCCCAGCTTTTTGTTGTTGAACATACTCTCCTCCCTCCCCCCTGCCAGCAAAATCTCTGCCTGAAGGAGGATTGTGATTTTAACACTTAAATTTACATCCAAAAAAAAATCCATTCCTGAGTTCTGTGCTCGCTTCAGACGGTGCCATCGCTTCCACTTCTCACGACTGACATAGAACCCTTAAAACATTTTAAATAGAGGCAAAAAAAAAAAGTGTTGGGGACCCAGCTTGCTCTTTTTTTTTTTTTTTTTTTTTTTTTCTGATTTGGATCTACCTCATGTAACCAGTTGGGTGCTAATTGCTCAAATTGTCGAGGAGATTGGCAAAACAGCGACCAAACCGCGCGTGACGTCCGACCTTCGGCGCCCGCGCCCCAAAACCTCGGGGTTATTGTTCAGAGACAACGATCTTGGATTTGAGTTTTATTCTTTGTGCCTTTGTGGTTGTTTTTTTTTGGGTAGTTTTTTTTCCCCCCCCAGTGCGTAACAATCAAAACTCGTCTTCTTAATTAAAAACAGCAAATGGGTTTTAACGGCCAAGTAAAAAAAAAAAAAAGGCAAAAAAAAAGTCACAAAATGGAGTTTTAGCGAATTTGAAGCTATTTTTTCAGTGTAGCAAGTTGTAAAATGTACAGTATCACAGCTGACCTAGGCAAAGAGAAACGCCCAATAAAGTTTAAAATGTATAATCCTGACCCCAAATCTGTAACCTGTGTGTCTCTATATATGCATATATCACACACATATAGCACATAACTGTATGTGTGTGCATGTATATATATATATATATATTTAAAAATGAGTGGATACACGTGTAAGGGTGAGGGAATAAAATGTCATTGACCTTTCCACGATTTTATAAGTTTGTAAGTTTACAACTACGTGTAAGTTTTTCTATGATGTGAACCTTTTTTACTTCAAAAGAATTCATTTTTGGAAAGCTTTAAGTTGTGATACTCTATCATTTTTTGAAGTTTAAAAAATAATAATAAAAAAAAATCGACTTTTTACCAGTACCTACAACAGAGGGGGAGGGGGGGGAATCTTTGCTGTAAAATTGTATTTAGTTTAAATATTAAAGAAAAAAAATATCTATATATGGGATTGTAAAAGTGCTGACATTCCATCATGGCAGGACTTCCAAGCTGTTTCCTAAGGCTTTCTGCTGCAGAGAGACTCGAACAAAAGGAAAATGCCTCTGTTCAGTGTTTTTATAAAACTGCTCCATCAGGTCTAGACTTAAGCTATATTTTCTAAAGCCTAATCATCCTTTAATATGCTGCAGATAAATGATCAGCATGGTTGCACTTTCTCAGTAATAATGTTTGCCCTGCAATTGGCTCGTGACAAGGACTTTAGTTTTTTAACAAAACCAATCGTACTTTGGGCAGAAGGTAATATTTATATAGGTACCTCAAGATAAAAAATAAAAAAAAAGAGCCTGAATATGCTGCATTTTGTTTCTTTAACATTTTTCATGTAGCATTTGTTTGCTTTTATGATTTTTTTAGGAGATGACTCAGCTACCTGTTTGTTTTTGGGGGACCCCGGTAGCATTTTAGGCCGTTGTTTTCTCTGGATCTCGTAGAATGTAGTATCCTGCCTTGGGATCGTGCAGTGGTTTGGGATGAGGTGTGCCCATGGGGAGGAGGACCATGGAAATCTGCTTTATGTAGACTTCAGGAAGAGGAGGAAAAGGATACTATATTCCTAAAACAGACAATACATGTTCTTAATTCTTAATTATATATTTTTTCTCCTGCTTGTTCTGCTTTCTTGACTCTTTTCTCAAATACGAGTATGGAAAGGGGCAGCTTATTAACAGGGGGGAACAAAGTGACCCAACTTGCCCTGTTGTTGGCAGGTGTTTTGGGGCTGCACCAAATTCCCTGAGCTCCCCAAATCCATTGGTAAAAGCTGTGCCCCGTGTCAGAGCAGGACACTCCTGCCCTCTGCCCGCTCCCTGTGCAGGTCCATCCTCTACTCCTTCAGTTCCAAATCAGTGAAAATCTAAACATGGTGCAGAGATGGGGAATTTTTTTGTTGAGAACTGTTTGAAGGAAGCTGCAAAGGCTGTGAAATCGAGCATTTATTGTCATGTTTTTAAGCTTAGGTGGGTCCTTTTCCAAGTTTGTTTTACAGCTCGCAAGGTAAAATAGTTTGCACTACTTTTGCAATAAACTCATGAAAAACCTAACAGGTTCTGTTCTGGTTTCTTACTGTATATATACAACTAATACTAAAGATTTAGCGTAGTGTTTTTCACCTCAAAACATAAGACTCGTAACAAGCTCAGAATGCTGTAATTCCTGACAAAATAATGATGTGAATGATATTTTATAAAGTTATTTTGTATGGTGTCAATTTTGTTTTGCCTCATAGTATGTCAATAAAATAAAATTCCTCATCTTTACAAGATACTGTTTGATGTCTTTTTGTGTAATATTTGGCCATTTTGTGCACTGTGAGACTGTTCCATGGATGGGCATGTTGAATACAGGACATATTCATAGCCCCAGTCATTTTCCATAGTGAGTAGAGAATCACGGAATCGTTTAGGTTGGAAAATACCTCTGTGATCATCCAGTGCAATAATTAACCCAGCACTGCCAAGGCCACCACTAAACCGTGTCCCCAAGTGCCACATCTACACTGCTTTTTAATTCCCCCAGGGATGGTGACTCCACCACTTCCCTGGACAGCCTCTTCCAATGCCTGACAACTCCTTCTGTGAAGAATTTTCCCTGATGTCCAATCTAAACCTCCCCTGGCACAACTTGAGGCCATTTCCTCTCATCCTAACGCCTGTTATGTGGGAGAAGAGACTGACCCCCACCTGGCTACAACCTCCTTTCAGGGAGTTGTAGAGATCCAGAAGGTCCCTCCTGAGCCTCCTTTTCTCCAGGCTGAGCAAGAGAAGGTCTCTGTTGCCTGAGAGCCCAAAAGCTCTGGTCCCTTTGCCCTCCCTTGCATTACACCACTCACCTCTGGTTTGGATGTTTCCCTGTGCACTGACCTCCTCTTTGCCCAGCTTTCCAGAGACAATATTTGCTGCTTTAACTGCTTACAAGTCATAATCCTGGAATTATTTATGGAAGGTGCTTTGGAAACCACTTGCCTGAAATCCTGCCTTTTGCTTTCTGAGTGAATTCCTACAGTGGTCAGTTTTTAAATGGAAAAGCTGTGACCACCTGGTGTGTTCTATAAATCACTGAGTGAAAGAAGATACCCAAGAGAACTGCAAGGGTGATGAGGAGCTTCCTTTGGGAGCCCAACCCTGCAAACACAGATGAGTTTTACTCAATAATGTGAAAATGATGTCCCAGCTGTCCCTTCCGTTTATTTTTCCCCTTGTTTTTGAAACCTTGCTTTGAGTTGGATGTGGTTTTGCTCTGTCAGGCTCTTGGGGAAAACAAATAACCCTTCACTGGTTTGATGGCAACCGGCTCTGGCAGCTGCAGGGCCTCGGGGATGGCTGTGGCAAATTTTGGCAGCTCTGAAGTTCCCATCGAGGATTCTGGCTGAGCGAATCCAGAAGGGTGTGCACGTTCTTGTGGCCTCAGTAATTCACAGAATATGTTCATCATCCCACAGGAAACTTCTAAGAGGGATGAAATATGGTGATTTATACTTAGTAACCACAGTCCTTTTGTCATTTTTTGCAAGCTTAGGAAGTTTCATCTCCTTTGAGCAGCTTTGGCTGGGGGTGGGAAGGACTTCACAAGCCATTACTGGAAGGGGGGGAAGACAGAAATATATAATAATAGATTCATCCTGCAAAGCGTCCCCTGGCCTGTGTTCCGCTCTCTAAAAGCCCTGAACGCCTCAAACAGGTGAAGATACTTGGTCACTTTTGAGGAAGTTCATGTTCAATTATGTGTTTTGTAGCTGCAGCTTGTGGATGTGGCTCTTCACTTCCTGCAAGGGATAAGGGTGGACTGGGAAGTGTCACTTGAAATGTTATCCTGGTGTCCCAGTGCCTGGGTCAGTCTCTGTGCACATCTGATCCCACTTGGAATGTAGTGCCTTTTGTTAATGTGCTGGTTTGGCATTTCTGGTTGTGGAGGGTTGACCTTGGGGCCAGATGTGCAAGTACCTTTTTTTTTTATTTTCCCAAAGAACTGGCACATCCTGCTGCTGGCACCCCCTCCCCCCAACAGACAGCATTCCATGCTCAGTTTCCCACAGATCTCCATGCACTTTTAATAAAAACATTTAAAAAAAAAAGCACCAAACAACCCTTTCAACAATGGAGTAGTTTAGCATAAACCCACTTGGGAACTTCTCTAGGGATCCAGCATCACTCAGCACTCACTGCAGCATTCCTGGTACAATACCATTTTCATTTATGGCAACTTAGGGAAGTTTTTGTAGTGGAACATCCTTTGATCTTTTAAAATAGCATTTCTGGTGTGGCTCAGTAGCTTTGCCCTGCCAGTGCCTGCTCTTACCTGCCTAACCTCCACTGTGCTTTCCTAGCACCAGCCTGGAGTGTGTTGGATTATGGAGCTGCTGGCGCTTTCTGCCCTGTGTTTTAAGAGCAGTTTAGTGTGTCTTCAACCCAAGAGAAGCAGTTGGTGTCATCCTGACAGGAAGGACAGTTCCCTTTACCATGCCAGCCAAAATGGGGTGTTGAGACAACAAATTCCTGACTGATTCAGGGCAGGTCACTGCCCAGCTTTTTTGGAGTGGGAGGTCCTGTTCTCTAATAACATTCCCATTCTTACCTGGGGCATTCTCCACACCTGGGGGAAGAGATTTTGGTTATTTCTCTCTCAATGACTGACCATGACTCTCTGCAAACATTACTACACTGGTCATGATTGAAGCTGGAAAGAACAGAAAGTTTCTGCACCAATGTCAGTTTTCATACAAAACATTTATTTTAGAAAGTTGCACGTAAAGTTCCATACAGGGCGGTTGCCATTTCTATTGTAAAAAAACCCAAACAAAACCAAAACAAAATAAACCACAAAACAACAAACTAAAACCAAGTGAAAAATCCAGCTCTGTCACTCCAATGGCAAAGGAGTTGCTTACTCTCAGGAATTCACGTCTAGTAAGACTTCAATGTGCATTTTGGAAGGAGAAACTGCAGAAATAGAGTTCATTAGAGAAAAAGGTCCCAGAAGTACATATTTACATCATTTTCTAAGACATTTACTTTTACCACCACAACTGCAGAACCTCATTAGCCCTTGTAATGGATCTCCTCAACCCTGTTTTGGTGCCCACATGGTGTCTAGGCTACATCACAGAAGTAGCTGTTTTTAAAGACTTATTTAATGGACTTGGTCCACTTTTGGAGCTTTTGGACTGAAAGCTGCCTGTAAGAAATTTTAAATTTGGGTACTGATTGTCTGAAAAGTAATTTTAAATCATCTGAGCAAGCTCTGCTGTCAGATTTACACTGTGTCCTCCTACCCCGCCGTGTTTCTGAGGGTAGAATCCCATTCTTCAAAAAGTATAAAGTTCAATTTCTAAACTTCTTAAAGCAAAAGCAGATGGCTCAGTGTATAAATATATCCAGCATCTGGATTCTCAGTCACAAAAACATCCTTTATACAACAGAAAGTGGATCAACTATGAAGCAATTCTCCATTGGCCTTAAGATCCAACACTGTCACCAACAGCTTCATCTTCCTCCTCTTCCTCCTCATCCTCTTCATGTCCTTCCCCCACTTCTCCATCTCGTTTCTCTTTTTCGAGCATCTTTAGGTATTTGCTCGCTAGGATCTTCTTTGGCAAGATATCTGGAAGGTAGAATTGTTGCTTTTATAGTCAGTTTTGAACACTTACATTACCTCATTAATACTGTTGCATCCAAATCACTAATGAAATGAAGTCAAAAATAAATATTAGTATTTTTAACAAAGCTCAAGTGAATAATCAGGTAAAACAGTCTGACCTATACAGCTGTAAGAGTAACAGGGAATTACCCACTTACAGTACAAGTAACCAAAGATAAGGAATATATTTTACGACTCATTACTGGCAACTGTCTTTACTGTCTGCTGATGTGCATTATTTATTTGATTTAAAATAGAGTGCTCAGCTGCCTGGATCCAACAAGCCAGCTCTCCAACTCATACCCTGTAAAAATGTTTTGTTTTGGTGTGGTTTATTTTTCATTAAGATAGTTGTTCAGGGCAGTAATGGACCTGATACAAAGCAGAACTGTGTGCACTGGAAGTATGTTCATGGGGAACCCAGAGAAAGACTGGATTAAGAGCATCTTTGAGCTCAGTGTTACAACACAAATCCAAGCACCAGTAAAAACTGCATGTACACACATGTGTGTACATATATCTAAAAGGAGAGAGGGACCATACAATGAAGCCCTTTTGCTCAAAACTTACAGATTTCTGTGTGCACCACTTTTGGTCCACGTAACTTCTCACCTAAAGATGTGCAATGATCTTCTTTTATGGGCTGAAAGCTTTCAATGGAATTGCAATTTAAGAAATGCTTAAGGCAATATGCTAAGAACTATATATAGTATAATTGTATAATTTAGAGGCAGAAGAAAAATCCCCATTCACAAAGAAATGTTTTCAGCAATGTAGTTTATGAGTTCCAGTTGAATGCTATACAGGGGATCAGTGACCAGCAGCAGAACTGGGTCCTCACAAAACAATGCATTAAGACCAAGATTTCATTGTCTAAATCACACACTGGATTTGTCCTCGTAACATCAATACCTGCAAGGAACTGAAAGGTCTCACACTCTTCTGCTGTATGAGACAGGTCAGTGTAAGTCAGAGCGTTCTTCTCCTTCCCTCTGCCGTGTTTGTAGGAGTATGAAGCCAAATACTGAACAAAAAGCTCCTAAAAAAAAAAAGAAAACAAAAACAAATAGTCAAGCTAAGAATTCACATATATAGTTGATCCCTCTCTCAAGGCAGAAGCACCATGTTTAACCACACAGACAGTGGGCACTCAGTGCAGAGACTCAGGGATGTCCAGTACCCAAAGAGAACTTACAGGACAGACAGGGCAAGAGTGTTTACAAGGGCTTGTAACAGGAACAAGGGGAATGGCTTCAAACTGAAAAAAAGTAGGTTTAGACTCGATATCAGGAAAAAAATTCTTCCCTGTAGTGAGGGTGATGAGGCCCAGTTTGCCCAGAAGAAGCTGTGGCTGCCCCATCCCTGGAAGTGTTTCAAGGCCAGGTTGGACGGGGCTTGGAGCAACCTGGTCTAGTGGAAGGTGCCCCTGATCTTCCAGGTCTCCTTCCAACCCAAACCACTCTATGATTCTAATGTCGGGGAAGCTGAGGGCCAGGGTTTGGTTCCATGTCTCGATGCGGGGAGCGGGCAGCGGGAGCGCGGCCCGGGGGCAGAGGCCCCTCGGCCGGGGCAGGGGGAGCGGGGAGGGCGCGGCGGTACCGTGGCTTTGGCTGTGAGGAACAGCGCGTCCTGGTTGATGCTGGACACCTCCGGGGAGCTCTTCATGATGACGCGGATCCGCGACAGGGGCAGCGACACCAGACGGTTCTCGCTCAGCCGCGCCGCCATCTCGGCCCGCCGGGACCTGTAGGCGGGGCTGAGCCGGGACTACAGCTCCCGACAGCTCCCTACGGCACCGAGCCCGGGACTACAGCTCCCGACAGCTCCCTACGGCACCGACCCCGGGACTACAGCTCCCGACAGCTCCCTACGGCACCGAGCCCGGGACTACAGCTCCCGACAGCTCCCTACGGCACCGAGCCCGGGACTACAGCTCCCGACAGCGCCGATCCCGGGACTACAGCTCCCGACAGCTCCCGACAGCGCCGATCCCGGGACTACAGCTCCCAACAGCTTCCTAGGGCACCGACCCCGGGACTACAGCTCCCGACAGCTCCCTACGGCATCGAGCCCGGGACTACAGTTCTCTATGGCACCATCCGGGGCTACAGCTCCCGACAGCTCCCTACGGCGCCGATCCCGGGACTACAGCTCCCGACGGCGCCTGTCCTGGGAGTACAGCTCCCGACGGCGCCGATCCCGGGACTACAGCTCCCTGAAACACAGGTACCTTCCTGGACTACAGCTCCCTGCACCGGGACCGGCCTGATCCCGAGATTACAACTCCCAAAAGAAGGGACTACAGGGACCACCAGCCCCGCCGGCTCCGCCTCCCCGGGCGCGCTGAGGCTTCAGAGACTTCTCAGAATCACAGAATTCTGTTGGAGAAGACTGGAATTCTGGTTGGAAAAGATCTCTGAGATCATCGAGTCCAACCTATGACCGAACACCACCATGTCAACTAGACTATGGAACTAAGTGCCACGTCCTGTCTTTCTTAAACACCTCCAGGGACGGTGACTCCACCACCTCCTTGAGCAGCCCATTCCTATATCTAACCACCCTTTCCGTGAAGAAATTATTCCTAATGTCCAACCTCCCCTTGCACAACTTGAGGAGGCCGTTTCCTCTCACCCTAATACTTCCTAGGTGGGAGAAGAGCCTGATCCCCACCTGGCTACACCCTCCTTTCAGGTAGTTGTGGAGAGCAATACGGTCCCCCTTGAGCCTCCTTTTCTCCAGGCTAAACATCCCCAGCTCCCTCAGCCATCCCTGGGCCACCCTGGACGGGGTCCTGCTGGCCCTCCTTGGGGCTTTCCCTTCCTCGCCCCCTTGACATGGCTCCTCAGCCCCAGGCTGGTACATGAGTGTCGGGAATTCATTTTTAATGGCAACCACGCGCCTCCTGCACGTATCCCAATTACAGGCCAGTGGCTCCAAAGTTGTTAATCCAAACTGTAATTACAGGCTGCTCAACGCCTCTGCTGCTGCAGTGCAGTAGCAGGGAATGTGCCTGGTCATCCTGACACTCCTGGGAGGTTGTGTGGGCGTGTGGAGGGCACATGTAAACTATCAAGTGATGATGGGGCTGCATCTTCATTATTAACACGTTCTCCATATTTACCTCGTGTGCTGTGTAGGCAGGTTGTAATATGCTTGTGGATGGGTTTTGCTGTTGGGAGCATTGGCTCCAGAAGTTCATCTGTGCCTGTTTGGATGAGGGTGTTGGATCCCACAGGGAGCGAGTGAGCACTTCCAGGAGTGGTGACGCATAGTTTACATCAGTTCATTAATGGCTTCAATAAAAAAGTTTGCAACGTGCTTTACAAACAACAAACCTGATGGTTTGTAGTGGTAAGAAGTCTGCTAATGCCACTAAATTATCTCTTAGTATGAGAGGGAAGAGCAGGAGCTTTTCCATAATACACAATAATAATTCACATGGAATTTAGGGCAGAAAGAGATGTACCCATAAAGAAGCACATTAAATGAAAAATACAGGGAGTTTCTTAACTGAATGTTGCTATCTTATATAGACTTTGCCCAGTACATAAGGACAAGGGTACAGATAATACTGATTTATTAATAAAACACAGCACCATAAGCAGTTGTAAGCACCTTGGTGCAAGGATAATACAGTGATGATGCAGTTCCAAAATTACTGTATTTGGGCACATCATTTAAAGTTTGCTATTGCAGATAATCTGTGTCTCTCGAACAGTGTAATTCCTTTGAGGTTACACCTTCTGTGAGGCCATTCTGTTGAAGTTATGTCTGAAGGGAAGCACAATATTCTAGGATGCTACATGGATATCTGCAAGGCTTAGTTTCTTCCTTGATCTTTAGTGTCTTGTGACATCTTGTGGAAACAGCTGACATTACTCTGACAGAGAATTTCTTGTAAATACTACTGGGGTCTTTCATGATTTCAATATACATATAAACCCCCATCGAACTACCAAGATTTCTGAGGGTATTGAGCTGTTTGGACACAGAATTAGGACTGTATAGCATAAGAGAACACCGTGATACTGCAATATTATTGATATTTAATAATTTATCTTTAGCATACTTTGTAATTGCAAAATTAATGTTGTACCAGTAACGGGATCCAACTTGTTCCTAATTAAAACAAACAAACTTATAAAGCTAGAATTAATTCTCTTGAATTAGAACTGAATGGGTGTTGTTATTAAGAATTCTTTGTTAAACCTGACAGGGAACACAGGTAAAATAAATATCACCTCTGGTAATTTGCATAAAAACTACTACTTCCTAATGTACTGATTTTACCTGTGTCCTGTGCTATGGGGGGAATACAGCAATGGCAAAGGAAAACTTGCTGCTCCAATAAACAGTCTGCTCAAATGAGGAAAATTTATTCAGATGTACTAGTGAGGTACCTGAAAGCAGAAAAGGATGGTGAATTACTGAAAAGTACCTCTGTATCAAGCTTCATTGGATTATAGTAAAAGAAAAATAATGATAAACCTAATATAATCAAAATGCCCCACGGATGAGAATCTGGGTAAAGTGTCTGCTGAATTCCCAAAAGCTACTGAGAGCAGTAGCTCTATTGGAGTAGCTTTCTCTATTGGAGAAACAGCAAGTTTAGTGAACCAGGTTACATCAGGCTGGTGGTCAGTCCCCTGTGGAGTTCCCAGGGCTCAATTTTAGGCCACTCTGTTGCTGAGTGACATTTTAAAACCAATTCATACACATTTAAGAAGTCAATAATTAGATATTTAATTATTTATGATCTGTAATTAAAAAAAAAAAAAAAAAGAAATGCACTGTTACTAGGTAAAGAACAGTGGATAAATGCTGGACTAGGGAAAAACCTGCCCATGTCAGCAAACAAGGGAAGGAGCTAAAGCTGGTCTGGCAAAGTATAAGCACAATATGTGGATAAGTAGTTGGCACAGACATAATTAATGTGTTATATTAAAAGAAAGAGGTGTCCAGCAGAAGATGCATAGTGCAAAAAAAGAAATTAACCTCTGTAGCAGCATTCTTTGAAATTGCAGTAGAGTGATAAAAAAGCAGCATTTAGAAACAATGAAAACAGACAAATTCATGACAAAGCAGAATTATTTCTTGCATGATGCAAAAAAAAAAAAAAGCTATTCTGAGGGAATCTGATTGATGGGATAAGAACATTATGCCAAATATGAGATAAATCTGAGCAGTTGGTAAATTACATGTTAATGCACAAATGCAAACAGAAAGTGGCTGAACTGCCAATGGTTGCTGGAAGATACCTAAGCATGTGGAAGTTGCAGGTAAGGCTCTCACTGTAGGAGTTCCTCCATTAGAAAAGCTGCAGCAATGAAGATATTCAAAAGCAAAAATCAGTCAAGAGGAGCCAAGCTTTTAGGCAGACAATACTATGTGTAATCTTCCATTTCCACTTATGACAGATACACATTTAGGCAACTTCTATCCAGAGTTGTTCTACCATTTGGAATTATACAGAACATTCTTCATACCTTCATCTTGGAGGATCTCAGGAGACTGAGTAGCTTAATGGCAGTGAGAAATTTCTAGAACACAATGTTTACACAGTCACAATCTAAATTATCTTCTAAAGATGATATTGTCATATCACATTTTTGTCTTGTAGGGAAGAAGTGAAACAACAATAAAGTGCTGTCAAAAAATGTCACTAAAACCATCTAGCAATGCTAGAGGGCAGATTTATGAATAATTGTGCTAGTTCTGGCTAGCATAGGGTTGATTTTCTTCACAGTAGCTGGTATGGGGCTGTGTTTTGGATTTGTGCTGGAAACAGTGTTGATAGCACAGGGATGTTTCCATTGTTGCTGAGCAGTGCTCACTGTTATGGATTTACACACACCGGCCACTGTAACAGGATCCTGCTAAGAAAGCAAAGTCTGAGTTCTTAAGTTATAGCTTGATCTGGGTACCTCCAGAGAGGGACCCCCATCCCTGTTCATGCCTCTCAATTATATCCATAATCACCCATCACCTAATGCCCAAGTCCAATCACTCAATTCTGGTCTGTGGTCTCTTGATGTCTTACTGTTTTTCACTGTTACTGGGCTGGCCTTCTTCTGGAGTGACTTCATTCTCTTGGAATTGTCTCCTTGGTCCTTATCTTCTCCACTCCTCTCACATCTTCTGAATTCAGTGAGCTCTTTGTTAGCAGCATTAGTTTTATCAAAAAGTTTATGCTTGGTCAACTCCTGTGGCCTAAGGCTTCAGCGACTTCAGCTGCTAATGCTGAGCCACTAATGCTAAATGAGAGTATTCAGAGGGAAAACCACAGTCAATCAAATTCCTTCTGTAACATTACACAGAGGAAAGGCCTTTTCTGCCTCTGACCTCACTCCCCCAGCGAGTGGACTGGGGGTGCACGAGGAGTTGGGAAGGGACATAGGTGGGACAGCTGATTCCAACTGGCCCAAGTGATATTCCAGATGACAGGACATCATGCTCAGCATATGAAGTTGGGGAAGAAGAAGGAAGGGAATGATGGTGTTTGTCTTTGCAAGTCACCACAATAATGCTGAGCATTGGCTTTGTCCATATGAGACCCAATCCTTGAGGTATTTTGGTATCACTGATACCACAACCAAATACAGTGTTAGCATTTGCTGACACTGCATTTGTTACTGATAACATCAGTATTGTAGAAATAAATGTAGAAACAAATCACTTCCCTGGGAGAAATGCTCCAAGTTACATTCCTGCAAAAATTCTGTGAGAGAAAACTAGTTATGTTCTTTATTTAAAACCATCACTTTCTGTCCCCTCTATCCTAAATTTGGCCAAGTTCGAGCACACCTATCTTCCCTCCAGAAGCTTCCTAGACTTGTATTCTTTCTGAATTTCACAGAACTGCT